GAAGGTCCGGGCATTTAGAGGTGGATAACCCATGCTTAATATATAAGCAATATTTATGCTCTACAATGTATTTATCTATCTTTTTATGTATCTATAAATCATTTATGCCATATACCCATCTGTGTGAATGTATAGATTATAATGTTTTAGTATGATTTGTTTGCTTTTAACTGAGGAATGAATGTGTTTATATGGATATGTATTTCTTTTTACTTCATATATCCTAATCTCTATCACTTAACGTATACTTTGTTTTATCGTCTCTCGTGACCCACTCTGGGTGGCGTTTGTACATCATCTCTCACATACTTGTTTAGGTTTCTTTTTACTCTGCACAAATGCTGAGACGCAAATAAAATATTTTGTATTGTATTGTATATTGTAAATCATATGTTGTACCACAGGTGCACTGCAATAACCATGACGAGGAATTATAGCATATTTTATATTTGTATTGTATAAATACAGCACACATATTTGTCACGAGGAGAAGAGTCATTATTGATTAACGCCACATAAGCAGTCTTGTAGCTGTTCGTGGCTATTATTCTCCCAGACATTGTTCCATATTTAAAGTGTGCTACAGTCCGTTTGGCTTAAAAACGGACCGATGAATTGCAATCTAACTCGAAAAATAATAAACATATAATACTTAATGAAACGCTGATCATAATCAAAACATCAGACCAACTCTGTGATTTATTTGCAGAATTTATGTCCTAAAAATCAAAAAGTTATTTAACAAACTATCATTAAAATTTTGACACAGTTCACTATTTGTTACGAGGGAGTAGTGCAAAGAAAGGGACAGCCAGGTGTGCGAGAAAGGATGGAGACGGCACAGCACAGGTTAATGAATCAATAACTTTGTCGGCACTTGTGCACGTGCTTCTCGAACACCTGGCTGTCCCTTTCTTTGCACTTCTCCCTCGTAACAAATAGTGAACTGTGTCAAGATTTTAATGATAGTTTGTTAAACAACTTTTTTGGTGGAGTCCGGAAAATTTTCAAATATAAGAAAGCTGTTGGGTATTAGTAAATGATAAACATGTGTACTATTTATATTTCTTTGGCAATTTTGTACAATGATAAAATTTGCAATTCATCGGTCCGTTTCTGACTCAAACGGACTGTAGTTATGTTGTATGCATATATTAATGTTTTAAATTTGTAATATCGTGTCTCGTAGGCCTGAGGGCCGGATGCTTGTTTTATAATTGTATAATATTGGTTTTATGACGTAAACAGCATGTGACACGTAAATAAAATATATTTCTTCTCTTCTCTTATCTGTATAAAGTTAAATGAATATTGATATCCCGTTATCTTGCAAACTGTTCTCCTTATAGACGAAATGTCACACAACTATATCCTAATCACTTTATTTAACCATGGTTATATTTTTATATGTTTGCGAGGTAAACCGATCAACATACATCTATGATATAGAATAACTGCCTCGTTTGGTCTACAAGGCATCCGATACCACGTCACTATGTCCACCAGCTATCCTTTAAGACGTCCAACTTCTCCCTTTCTTGGCCAGCAGGTACTCATTAAGACGTCCCACTCGACCCCTTATTAGGTTCACTCCAGTTTCTCGCCTTCATAACTACATATAATTCCTATGTGGGTCGACCGCCTCCGTGGTGTAGTGGTTAGAGCGTCCGCCCGGAGAGAGGTGCGGGGTTCGATCCCCGACCGCGTCATACAAAAAGACGTTAAAATATGGTACTTGTTGGTCCCTGCCTGGCGCTCGGCATTAATGGCTCGGAGTCAGTATGATGTGTCTGAGTGGGGTATTCATGCTTCACTGCGGCATGGTATCTCAGTGGGCTAGCACTATAAAAACAGCTTCAGTCTGGGCTAGTACAAGCAGCCGCACATACACGTACACACGCATGCACGTCGTCATATGAGCGAAATATTCTCAAGCACGACGTTAAACCCAATTTCACCTCACCTCCTATGTGGGTCAGCTGGGTTTGAGGCGATATGTGCCGGCGTTTCCTCAGGGAGCAGTTTGGATATTATTGTTGCAGTTGGGGTCGATATATGAATGCGAGAAGAATAACATCACCGAAGTGTGTTGTAAAACAACTTGTTCATCGAGACAGTTCTCAAACGCCAATCATCCTCTCTACAGTACAGTGCAATGCCTCGACCCTGGAGTGAGTGAGTGAGTTGGGTTTTACGCCGCGTTTAGCATATTCCAGTAATATCACGACAGAAGACACCAGAAGTGGACTTCATACATTGTGCACATGTTGGTAATCGAACCCGGGTCTTTGACGTGACTAACCAACGCTTTAACCACTACCCCACCGCCCCACCTCGATCCCGGAAGATTCTCGGGTAATGCAACTGAAGTCGGGGTCATACAACAGAAGACACGTGCATTTGATAAGTTTCGCTTTTATTACCTTTTAATAATCCAGCACACGCACATGATATTAATGTCCTTCCAGTTTACATAAATTAACCCACTGAAGCTGGGACGGAGCCAGCATCAAAATCCCTCTTGGAACATCTGGTCAATGTGTACACCACATATACGGGATATATTTAAAGGGTTAACACAGTGTGCTGTACATGCGACATTCTAACACGTTTGTGACATGTGGTAAATAACAACATTTGGAATGGTGTAATCCTTTGTACCGCCAAGAGCACAACATAATGCCAAAGCTATTAGTAATGAGACATTGTCAGTATCAACACTAAAAATCAACACTTGTAATGGGACCCATGGCCAATATCAACACTTGTAATGGGACCCATGGCCAATATCAACACTTGTAATGGGACCCATGGCCAATATCAACACTTGTAATGGGACCCATGGCCAATATCAACACTTTTAATGGGACCCATGGCCAATATCAACACTTTTAATGGGACCCATGGCCAATATCAACACTTGTAATGGGACCCATGGCCAATATCAACACTTGTAATGGGACCCATGGCCAATATCAACACATCTAATGGGACCCATGGCCAATATCAACACTTTTAATGGGACCCATGGCCAATATCAACACATTTTAATGGGACCCATGACCAAAATCAACATCTAATGGGACCCATGGCCAATATCAACACATCTAATGGGACCCATGGCCAATATCAACACTTTTAATGGGACCCATGGCCAATATCAACACATTTAATGGGACCCATGGCCAATATCAACACATCTTTTTAATTAATGGGACCCATGGCCAATATCAACACTTTTAATGGGACCCATGGCCAATATCAACACTTTTAATGGGACCCATGCCAATAATATCAACACTTTTAATGGGATCATGGCCAAAATCAACACTTCTAATGGGACCCATGGCCAATCATCATCTAATGGGACCCAATATCAACACTTTTAATGGGACCCATGGCCAATATCAACACATCTAATGGACCCTTTAAGGGCCAATTCTCTTTAAACCCATGGACCCATGGCCAATATCAACACTCTTTAATATATCAACACTTTTAATGGGACCCATGGCCAATATCAACACTTCTAATGGACCCAATATCAACACTTTTAATGGGACCCATGGCCAATATCATCAACACATCTAATGGGACCCATGGCCAATATCAACACTCTGTAATGGGACCCATGGCCAATATCAACACTTGTAATGGGACCCATGGCCAATATCAACACTTGTAATGGGACCCATGGCCAATATCAACACATCTTTAATGGGACCCATGGCCAATATCAACACTTTTAATGGGACCCATGGCCAATATCAACACTTGTTATGGGACCCATGGCCAATATCAACACTTGTAATGGGACCCATGGCCAATATCAACACATCTAATGGGACCCATGGCCAATATCAACACTTTTAATGGGACCCATGGCCAATATCAACACTTTTAATGGGACCCATGACCAAAATCAACACATCTAATGGGACCCATGGCCAATATCAACACATCTAATGGGACCCATGGCCAATATCAACACTTTTAATGGGACCCATGGCCAATATCAACACTTTTAATGGGACTCATGGCCAATATCAACACTTTTAATGGGACCCATGACCAATATCAACACATCTAATGGGACCCATGGCCAATATCAACACTTTTAATGGGACCCATGGCCAATATCAACACATCTAATGGGACCCATGGCCAATATCAACACTTTTAATGGGACTCATGGCCAATATCAACACTTTTAATGGGACCCATGGCCAATATCAACACTTGTAATGGGACCCATGGCCAATATCAACACTTTTAATGGGACCCATGGCCAATATCAACACATCTAATGGGACCCATGGCCAATATCAACACTTGTAATGGGACCCATGGCCAATATCAACACTTTTAATGGGACCCATGGCCAATATCAACACTTGTAATGGGACCCATGGCCAATATCAACACTTTAATGGGACCCATGGCCAATATCAACACTTGTAATGGGACCCATGGCCAATATCAACACATTTAATGGGACCCGTGGCCAATATCAACACTCTTTAATGGACCCATGACCAAAATCAACACATCTAATGGGACCCGTGTAATAATATCAACACATCTAATGGGACCCATGGCCAATATCAACACTTGTAATGGGACCCATGGCCAATATCAACACTTGTAATGGGACCCATGGCCAATATCAACACTTGTAATGGGACCCATGGCCAATATCAACACATCTAATGGGACCCATGGCCAGTATCAACACATCTATTGGGACTCATGGCCAATATCAACACTTTTAATGGTTCCCTGATGGACACATGAACACCAGCTGGACAAGGTAATATTTCGAATATCAGCAGGTCGTTGAAGTTCCTGGGAGAGTGAGTGTAGAGGACTGTGACATTGGCGGTGCTGTACGTGCCAGCGTTAACGAGGATGATGCAACGTCTGACACATCGGAATGTCGTCTGCTTTCTAAGCTACCTGCAATATCCTGGACAACCGTCTGTCTCTCTATAAACTTTCAGTTTGTATATTTTCACAGATGAAAGTCGATACTACGAGTGAATCCAAGGTCAGGAGATGGATTCAATTCATATCACGACCCACCCAAACAGACGAGTGAACGGGTTACCCTCCAGTGTCCGCCAAGACCACTCTCGTATCTTCTGCAATTAGAGAAACATGTTTAAAGTACAGTCTAAAAATAATTAGTAAGGGAGTGAGTGAGTTTAGTTTAACGCCGCTTTTAGCAATAATCCAGCAATATCACAGCGGGGAACACTAGACATGGGCTTCACACATTGTATCCATGTGGGGAATCGAACCCGAGTCTTCGTCTTGACGCTTTAACCATTAGGCAACCCCATCGCCCCTCTAAAATTAATAAAACATGTTCCTTGTTTCTTTCTCAGAGAGCATGTCTGAAATCGATCATTGTTCAAATCCCAGACCCGATTATTAATATATTTTAACGCCACGCTCAATGAGTGAGGGGGCGGTGGGGTAGCCTAGTGGTTAAAGCGTTGGCTCGTCACGCCGAAGACCCGGGTTCGAATCCCCACATGGGTACAATGTGTGAAGCCCATTTCTGGTGTCCCCCGCCGTGATGTTGCTGGAATATTGCTAAAAGCGGCGTAAAATCAAAACTCAGTCAGTCAGTCAATGAGTGAGGTAAGTGTGTAAGGTCCAACGTCGCTTTGAATAGCATTGCAGTTATATCAAGTGGTATCACATCCTCGATAATCTCCAGGGTATACGTTCCGATAAATCTCCACTAGTGGAGTGAGTGAGTGAGTTTAGTTTTACGTCCCACTCAGCAATATTCCAGCTATATGGCGGCGGTCTGTAAATAATCGAGTCTGGACCAGACAATCCATTGATCAACAGCAGGGGCATCGATCTACGCAATTGGGATACGATGACATTTGTCAACCAAGTCAGCGAACCTGACCACCCGATCCCGTTAGTTGCCTCTTACAAGCATGGATTGCTGAAACCAATTCTAACCCGGATTTTCACGGGCAGTCAGCAGTATTAAGTAAAGTATGCCTTCCGAAGTTAACTAAGTTAATGGAAAATATGGAAAACAAAAATTATAAAGTTTTTTTATGCCCCTATTTTTGTAATATTGTATCTGTGTACCAATTACCATTCCATTTCTGATATGTACCATACGTACTGTGGAGTCTAGAATACCATAAATGTTGATCCCGAATCCCGCCTTCCGCAACCGGAAGGGGGTTGGGAGGCTCACAGACTAACGTGAGTGAGTGAGTTTAGTTTTACGCCGCACTCAGCAATATTTAAGCTATACGGCGGCGGTCTGTAAATAATCGAGTCTGGACCAGACAATCCAGTGATCAACAGCATGAGCATCGATCTGCGCAATTAGGAACCGATGACATGTGCCAACCAAGCCAGCGAGCCTGACCACCTGATCCCGACAGTCGCCTCTTACAACAAGCAAGGGTTACTGAAGATTCATTCTAACCTGGACCTTCACAGACGAACGCTTAGTCCCGGAATATATATAATTTTGATAGTAACAAACAAACCCATTTAAATTGAAAAGGGGCCCCAGGCCAGTGAGTTGGGAGCTGGGGAAATCTAGGGCTTTAGCATTGCAGGGATGGCCAGGTATTAGGGAAAATAATATGTGGTTCAGGGACTGCCAGACAGACTAGGAGCTTCACTGAATCGGAGCTCCGGCAGATTCTCATCCAATTACCTTGTGTAGTTATAATTGTTACTAGCTACCCTTTGTATCGGCTATCAGTAGATACTATCCTTTGTGAATGCCCAAGAAAAGTATATCCGGCCCTATCGTCCTAATTAAGACTACTATAGCGTCTGTCCAGTCTCGTTTTTACCCTGCATATCGCGTGTGGATGTACTTACCCCTCTCGTCTCACAAACTAGCCTCCTTAAACCTCCCAGTGAGGACTCACCTTGAGTTTATCAGGGTGGATGGAACACCACGTGCAACATCCACCCAAGTGAGGTGGCTGCACATCTGTATCTGCTATTGTTTGCACTTCAATGTTCGTGTTTACGTACAGCGCGTTCCACGCCGAAATGTTGACTGCTATAAATAGACATCCGCTCCCGGCTGAGTGAGTCGTTCCCCCGCCAAAATAGGTCAACGGCATCCCGAGGTCGAGAGAGGCGGGACACCCCGGGTCAAGCCGGGAGGCTGAAGAGCCTGCATGTGGAGTGACCTGACTCTCTCTGTAACTGTGTAACTGCATCAGAGTGAATGAATGTGGTTTTACGCCGCGTTGTGTAATATTCCAGCAATATCTAGGTGCATAGGCGGGACATCAGAAATACAGAAACGGAAAAAATTCTTCCCACATCCGTAAAAAGGTCTCTAACGATATCATGAGTTTGACGCCGCATTCAGCAGTATTCCAGCTGTACGACGCGATCTGTAGACAATTGAGTCTGGACCAGAAATTCCTGTGATTCGCACCACGATATATGATGTCAGAGCATGTGCTATGAATCACTATCAAATACTGTAGTGATGATGCCAGGTGTTTGCGAAGGTGTAAGCCTCAGAATTGTACTCCAAGTAAGCCTCACAACTGTAGATATCAAGTAGGCCTCAATATTGTACTAGAAACTTAGCCTCACGGTTGTACTCATAGGTAGGCCTCACGATTGTATTCGAAGTTGGACTCACGCTAAAACTCCAGACAAGCCTCTCCATTGTACTTCAGGTTGGCCTCACGATTGTACTCCAAGTGGCCTCATGATTTTACGCCGAGTACGCCTCATGGTAGACTAAGGCTTAGTCTCTGAATATATATAATTTTGATAGTAACAAACAACGGCCCATTTAAATTGAAAAGGAGCCCTAGGGAGACCAGAGATTCAGAACCTGGGGAAATCTAGACTTGCTTAGTTTAGGGCTCTAGCATTACAGGGAAGACAAGGCTGTAGGGAAAATAATGTGGTTCAGGGACTGTGAGACAGACTAGCCTCGTGGTTGTACTCCAAGTATAGGAGCTTCACGATTGTACTAAGAGGTAGCCTCACTATCTTAATTTGTGTATAATCACTGCTCTTGTATAGCTTTGAATTTATACTGCCGCTCTATGTTGTATACTGCCGCTCTATGCCATAGTGATACCTTTATATTAATATGTGAACTGAACATTAAATGTTAATTACAACACACTTCTTTGTTGTTAGTTGGTTTCACGCATAATTCTTTAAGGGACTCATTCCCGGTTAATTTGTTAGTTTCAACTTTGGGATTAACGCGTAACATTACTCACTCCCTGGACTAATGCAGTACGTGTTCATAAAAAGTCCAAATGATACAATTCTTAATCTGAATCTGATTGATTACTCTGTATAGGTTCTAAATATATAGGAGTAAGTACAGAGGGAAAGATTACAGTTAGTATTTATAGTTCTCAAGAGCACATTTAAAGCTCTCTAGAGATGCACTTGTCAAACCGGCCGGTAGGTGGTTCCAGTCGTACACAGTTCTCACAGAGAATGATTTCCTCATTTCACGTTTGTGTAGCTTGTTGTGATATTGCTTGAATGGTGGTAGAAACGGCTTAAAACTTATCCTGTGTGAATAATTGATAAACCATAACGAAGTGAAAGTGAAAAAACATTCACATTTCTTGCTGTATTGCAGCCTTTAGTTGATCGATAGCGGGAAACAAATTAAAGCACCACTTACAGGCATTTAATAGTTTATGCATGAGACGTGAAGTCCCGTCGTCTTTAGGAATACGGTCGACCTTTACTCCGCGTCTTCTCCGTTAATAGGGAAAGGCAGATAAAGAGATAGATAAAGTAATCTAACTGATCATCTGTGTTGTACATGGTATACACCATTAACCTATACCCCGTTTAGGGAATACAGAGAGCGGACAGAATGGCAAGCGAAACATGTCATGTGAGAGTCACGTGGTCATTCAGTCAAAATGTCGGCAGCGGTGTTGGGCGTGTGCGCTGTAGCGATCCTGTGTGTCACGGGCGTTGCGGGGGTAGGGATGCTCTACCCCCGGGACTCCGAGAGTCGGGAGGTAAAGAACCTGGATGGAATGTGGAACTTCCGTGCCGACATGTCCCCGACCAGGGATGCTGGACTGACGCAGAGCTGGTTCTCTCAGCCGCTTGCGAAAGTGAGTTCATTTGTGATTTTATGTATTTTTTATAATTGCATTAAGTTTATATTCGGTTTCAGTGATTTGTCTTCAAAACGCTTTTTAGGAGCGACCATTGTGATGGGGATGGGTGAAATATTAGTGAAACCAATGTTTTACGTAAACAAATTTCATATCCGGCAGGAACACTTAATGTGCCCTTTTCATTCATTCATTAAAAAATTAATTGAGCATCGGCATATTTTGGAGAAAGTAATTGACCTCCTCAAAAATATGCTGATCGAAGACAGATGGATGGATGAATAGACAGTTGCTTTATTTTATTGTAAGAAGATTATTTTCACCTAAGGAAGGATAACAATATGGATGGACAACTTCTTTATTGCAGTGAGACCGAACTTTCAGTGTAGGTTCTAACACTGTTATCAACCAAGTGATAGAACCTGCACCAAACCGTCTCTCTCACTGTAATAAAGAAGTTGTTCATCTATATATTGTTATCCTTCGTTAGTGCTCCAACTTCTAAATACCTGTCAACCAAGTTATTTTCACACAGCCACTCATGTTATATATAGAACAAACTTTATGGATAACAACTTCTTTTATTCGTGAGTGCGATGTTTCGATACAGATTCTTGTACCCTTGTCAAGCAGGAATGGAACATGAAGAAGGGGCATGTATATATATATATATATACTGAATATAACAATGTAACAAACAAAACAACATAATTGGCTAGGCAGTGAGCTGATGAAGCCAGGGAGTAGACAAAGGACAGGCGTGGAAGCCAATGATGTACAAATAATATTGAGGTGTTAAACATGATGGATCATGGTGTTAACACCTCATTATTATTTGTACATCATCGGCTTCCACGCCTGTCCTTTGTCTAATCTCAGTGGAAATCAGGTTGAAAAACATTTGTTTGTTATTGAAGTATTCAAATGATGGTGGCATCGTACTGTACACCTGTCCTAATCAATGTATCGTTAATGTCACAGCTGTTATATTTACTGTGACAAAGCTGTCTCGGTGTAGCTGACAAGGGATATCATAGACAAAGTTTTATCAACCATACAATGGCTATCATCAATTTACACAGACACTGCCTATTATCTGATATTCCTGAGTACAGGCAGACTAATACCTGTAATATTGCTAACTACAGGGTGCTCTATATCTGAGATATTGCTGACTAGAGCTGGCTGTGACTAGAACAGGCTGCTGTGATGTGTCTGTAATATTGCTGACTAGAGCTGGCTGTGACTAGAACAGGCTGCTGTGGTGTGTCTGTAATATTGCTGACTAGAGCTGACTGTGACTAGAACAGGCTGCTGTGATGTGTCCGTAATATTGCTGACTAGAGCTGGCTGTGACTAGAACAGGCTGCTGTGATGTGTCTGTAATATTGCTGACTAGAGCTGGCTGTGACTAGAACAGGCTGCTGTGGTGTGTCTGTAATATTGCTGACTAGAGCTGACTGTGACTAGAACAGGCTGCTGTGATGTGTCCGTAATATTGCTGACTAGAGCTGGCTGTGACTAGAACAGGCTGCTGTGATGTGTCTGTAATATTGCTGACTAGAGCTGGCTGTGACTAGAACAGGCTACTGTGGTGTGTCCGTAATATTGCTGACTAGAGCTGGCTGTGACTAGAACAGGCTGCTGTGATGTGTCTGTAATATTGCTGACTAGAGCTGGCTGTGACTAGAACAGGCTGCTGTGATGTGTCTGTAATATTGCTGACTAGAGCTGGCTGTGACTAGAACAGGCTGCTGTGGTGTGTCTGTAATATTGCTGACTAGAGCTGACTGTGACTAGAACAGGCTACTGTGGTGTGTCCGTAATATTGCTGACTAGAGCTGGCTGTGACTAGAACAGGCTGCTGTGATGTGTCTGTAATATTGCTGACTAGAGCTGGCTGTGACTAGAACAGGCTGCTGTGATGTGTCTGTAATATTGCTGACTAGAGCTGGCTGTGACTAGAACAGGCTACTGTGGTGTGTCTCTAATATTGCTGACTAGGGCTGGCTGTGACTAGAACAGGCTGCTGTGATGTGTCTGTAATATTGCTGACTAGAGCTGGCTATGACTAGAACAGGCTGCTGTGGTGTGTCTGTAATATTGCTGACTAGAGCTTGCTCTGACTAGAACAGGCTACTGTGATGTGTCTGTAATATTGCTGACTAGAGCTGGCTTTGTTGAGGTAACCTGCCTGTTACTGATAGGAGGTTTTAAAGTCGGTTTTAAATTTTCATCTCAAATATATCGATGTAACACATCAGAATTTAAGAAAATACAAATTTGAATAAATACTTCCTTTTAACGAAATAATGGATATCCCAGTTCCTGCCAGGGCCCTTAGTTCAAAATCCTAGATGAAACCCTGGCCCCAAGTGTTAATTTCCTGAACCTAGTAAATGATAAACCATGGTCCCAATGGTAGATCTGTGACAGTAAATATCTGTTTCTCATGTCCAGACTGGACCAGTGATTCCGATGCCCGTCCCCTCCAGCTACAATGATGTCACCCAGGATAGGGCCCTTCGAGACTTCGTCGGCTGGGTGTGGTACGACCGCTCATTCTTTGTACCTCAAGACTGGCAAAACCGTCGAGTAGTTCTACGCTTTGGCAGTGCCCATTACTACTCTATGGTGGTAAGTAGTTGTCACCCAACTAGTCTATAGAGATGGCATTCATTAGATTGCATCATTATTCACTGTATTGAATACAGTAGAACCCTTTTAAACAAACTGTCGTCCAGCAGATGGTGGTGCAACATGCCAAAAGAAGTTAATAGTTGGCATGCACGCATGCACGCATGCACAAACACTTGACTTGCAGCACTTTGGTATTTTCTGCCAATCACTACGTGACATACGTTTAAGGCAGTGTTAAACTTTGTATATCCTCTGTATATCACCCCTGAGGGGATTCCAGGTGAGATGACTGTGTGTAACATTCCCCACAGTGTTCATGGTTCAAAAAATTAATACCTGTGAAGATCCGGGTAAAAATTCTTCACTAACCCATGCTTGTCGTAAGAGGCGACTAATGGGATCGGGTGGTCAGGCTCACTGACTTAGTTGACAAATGTCATTGTATCCCAAATTCGTAGAACGATGCTCATGATGTTGATCACTGGATTGTCTCGTCAATACTGGATTATTTACAGACCGCCGCCATACAGCTGGAATATTGCTGAGTGTGGCGTTAAACTAAACTCACTCACTCACCCACTCACTCCACTAGTGGAGATATATCGAAACGTATACCCTGGAGATTATCGAGGATGTGATACCACTTGATATAACTGCAATGCTATGCTACTCATTCACTCATAAAATTAATTGTTTGATTGTTTGGTCCATACTGGATTGAGTAGAGGTCGCATGATATAGTGTGAATATTGCAGTTGTCAGTGTTAAACAACAAACAAACACCTTTTCCAGTGGATCAACTCGCAGATGGTTGTTGAGCATAATGGTGGCCATCTTCCGTTTGAGGCAGAAATCAACAAATACCTCAACTTTGCTGGGAGCAACTTGCTGACAGTTGCTGTCAACAACACCTCACCCCCCACACTCTCCCCCCAGGCACCATCAAATATGAGACCGACACCAAGAAGTGAGTATGATCTTATTCACTGTTATGTCTGTGGGATGGTGCTTGTTGATTGCTTGTTAGTCTGTCGGGGCGGTGGGTTGGCCCAATGGTTAAAGCATTGGCTCGTCACGCCGAAGACCCGGGTTCGAATCCCCACATGGGCACAATGTGTGAAGCCCATTTCTGGTGTCCCCCGCCTTGATGTTGCTGGAATATTGCTAAAAGCGGCGTAAAAACCAAACTCAGTCAGTAAGTGTTAGTGTGTCATTCTTCTTGAAACTGTTTAAGTGCTCAGCCTGAAACCTCAACTCACACCATAATTCTTTATTCTGCTAAATATTTTTTGATTCGTTTTGGAAAAATATTAAAAAAATAAATGATGACATTAAACCACACGTAAACTCTAATCTTTATGAGACCCCAAAGCCTGGATATCTGATGCACTGATATAATTTCTAGCAAAGTGATTTTAAAAATATTTTAAATGTCAATGAATTGTTTTAGAATCATCTTTTCACAAAGCATAAAACAGTTAAACATGATAAAGATGGGAATTGCCATCATGTCAGATGTGGTTTGTTTGTGGAATAAAACTGAATCAGTCATCAGGATAATAGGATTCTGTGAGGCATCAACCTTCGTCCTCAGCTTTTTCTTAGACAAGTAGTATTTATAGATTTAGCATCATGTTTCCTGATAATGGCAAGATGATGCTGTCAGTATATATAGGTTTTCATCATTAACTGTTAGAAACAGTATTTTTAGAAAATCAAAATAGAATCAAGCTTTATACCTTGGCTGAGGCATTGAACCATATTTCTTACTTAATTTTTAATCTTTTCTGAATATTTTAAGGGGTAAGGGGGCGGTATTGTAGTCTAGTGGTTAAAGCATTTGCTCGTCAGACCTGGGTTTGATTCCCCACATGGGTACAATGTGTGAAGCCCATTTCTGGGGTCCCTCTCCGTGATATTGCTGGAACATTGCTAAAAGCAGTGTTAAACCATACTCACTCACTTATGGGGAAAAAGCTAAGAGAATTTTCGGTCTTTATTGCAACTTTTGTTCTTCAAGCTGGTAAGTTGCTTTGAGTGTAGTGACTGAAAGACATTAGGAAGTGAGTGAGTGAGTTTAATTTTACGCCGCACTCAGCAATATTCCAGCTATATGGTGGCGGTCTGTAAATAATCGAGTCTGGACCAGACAATACAGTGATCAACAGCATGATCATCGATCTGTGCAATTGGGAACCGATGACATGTGCCAACCAAGTCAGCGAGCCTGACCACCTGATCCTGTTAGTCGCCTTTTACGACAAGCATGGGTTTCTGAAGATCAATATTCTAACCCGGAAATTCACGGGTCAACATTTGGAAGCCAGGGATAGAAATACTTTTTTTTCTAAATGTGCCTTAGGGCACCAGACAAATATTATAAATGTCCCTTTCAGAAATCAAGTGTGCCCACATGTTTTTAGAATAAATGACTGTAGCAATGATGATCATTGGAAATTTATTGTTAGTAAACAACAAATGTAACCTGTTTTCTGTTATCACTGATATGTCTTCTGTTTAAGATGGCTTTCTTAAGCTTCGTTTGTTCTGCTTTCCCAACACCTTTAATAGCTCAGAATTCACAGGCTCACTCTTCAATAACCGAACTATCAGTACTCCCATCACTATAAATGGAAAAACAACCAGATTTCTTTATATCATCCATCATTGTTCCAGTGATTTCCTGGGCGATGAAGTCAATAAATGTTTTTGCTTGTTTGTCATTTGCGTAAGTGTTTTGTTTGGCGGTTTAAATGACTAAAGGGTCTCTGAAAAAATATGCATGCCATTAGGGCACTGAGAACATTTTTTAGCTGTGCCATTTCAATACTTACCGTGCCATGGCACACTAATATATGGGGTATTTCGAACCCTGGAAGCGATACACATAAGGGCAAGTTTCTGGATGTCAGCTTTTGTGATGTGAGGAACTTATCACCTTCTGAACATAGATGTCATATTTAGAAAGAAGACAACATATCGTTTTGAGGTGTATTTGAGAGGGAGACAACATACTGATTTTGAGGTATGTTTGAGAAAGAAGACAACATATCGTTTTGAGGCGTATTTGAGAGGGAGACAACATACTGATTTTGAGGTATGTTTGAGAAAGAAGACAACATATCGTTTTGAGGTGTATTTGAGAGGGAGACAACATACTGATTTTGAGGTATGTTTGAGAAAGAAGACAACATATCGTTTTGAGGTGTATTTGAGAGGGAGACAACATACTGATTTTGAGGTATGTTTGAGAAAGAAGACAACATATTGTTTTGAGGTGTATTTGAGAGGGAGACAACATACTGATTTTGAGGTATGTTTGAGAAAGAAGACAACATATCGTTTTGAGGTGTATTTGAGAGGGAGACAACACACTGATTTTGAGGTATGTTTGAGAAAGAAGACAACATATCGTTTTCGAGGTATATTGTCATTCAGTTTTCATTTTTGGAGAATATTTATGAAAGGTCTCACCCTTGATTCCTGATTTCGGTACAATGTGTGAAGCCCCATGCTAGTTTTGATGCCTTCATGTTGCACTCACCCACTCACTCACTCACTGTATTTCATTCACTCACTCACTCATCCACCCACTCACTGTGTTTCATTCACTCACTCACTCACCCACTCACTCACTCAACCACTCACTCACTCACTGTATTTCAGATATCCAGAGGGCTACTTTGTTCAGAATCTCCAGATGGATTTCTTCAACTATGCTGGTATTCACCGTCACGTCCGACTGTACACGACCCCAACCACCTACATAGATGATGTAACCGTTACAACTGACATCAATGATGGAAAAGGTGGGACAGTGTCGATCTCCATATCTTTTAACTCTTTGACTTTTTGTGTCTTAGTCTCAAATGACAACAAGAACAAAATGTATTCTTGATAAATACATCCTCATCTTTTACCAAATTACTGGATATGATGAATGTTCACAAAAAACTGTATTTTTGGTTTAGAAAATATATGCAACATCTTTGTAGAGTTGTGGGGCGAAGGGGTAGCCTAGTGGTTAAAGCGTTTGCTCGTCTCGCCGAAGACCCGGGTTCGATTTCCCCACATGGGTACTATGTGTGAAGCCCATTCCTGATGTCCCCCGCCATGATATTGCTGGAATGTTGCTAAAAGCGGCGTAACACTAAACTCACTCACTTTGTAGAGTTGTGTCCCTTAGGCATGCCTTTTGACCTCGACCCCTACTGTTTCAAGCACCATACCCATGCTCTTGGTTTTACTCACTCACTCACTCTTGGGGTAAATGTCTGAGATCTGCTTCACTCCGGGGTTTCCATGCACATGAGCTGACACATCGTGATATGATTGGAAAACTGTTCAGTGCAGTGTAAACACATGCATTCACTCACTTTTGCTGTCTGACTTGAAGGGTTAACTTCAGAAGGTATCCAGCCAAAATCACTGACTCCACCTGTCAGTGATATGAGTTATTTATGTCAACAGTGTTTCATGTACAGGATGTACAGGATGTTATGAGCTGAATGTTGGTATACATTGGTCTAGTGTTGTATGTGAACGTTCAGCTTAGAATGAATCCACTGATGACTCTTATTACTAGTGCTGGATTTAGCATTACATATTCGTAACTCTCAAACTGTCCAGCCTATCTGTACATATTAAAGGTGGATCACTGTGGTAAATGCCTATCTCTGGTACCCCTCCACCATGGCGAATTATTTTGAGTGAAATATGTTTGGTGTAGACCCTTAATGGTCTTTAAAGCATTGGCTCGTCGTCACGAAGACCGGAGGTTCGAATCCCCACATGGGTACAATGTGTGAAGCCCATTTCTGGTGTCCCCCTGCCGTGATGTTGCTGGAATATTGCTAAAAGCGGCGTAAAACCAAACTCAGTCAGTCAGTCAGTCTGGTACCTCTCCACCATGGAGAATTATTTTGGAGTGAAATATTTTGTGTGACAATATCAGACCAAACTTCTGACCTCCAGTGGGTCTATATGATGTCAACAGTGACGTCAGCAACAGATGACATCATATAGAACTCTATGAAATACTTCTTGTTTTTGCAGGTCAACTGACTTACTTGCACAATGACTTGCCAATAAGCTGGATTTTGTAAAAGTTTTGAGAATACTCAATACCTGGCTGATATTTCAGGTGTTGTCAACTACCAGATCGTCCCAGGTGGATCTACCCAGGGCAACAGTATCAAGGTGGAAGTGGAGGACAGGGAGGGGAACGTCGTTGGAACATCGGCCACCTTCAGCCGCTGTGTCCATCGCTAACGCCAACCTCTGGTACCCCTACACCATGATGCCCAACTCTCCAGCCTATCTCTACACATTGAAGGTAGGTGACTATAGTGAATGCCTATCTCTGGTACCCTACACCATGATGCCCAACTCTCCAGCCTATCTCTACACACTGAAGGTAGGTGACTATAGTGAATGCCTATCTCTGGTACCCCTACACTATGATGCCCAACTCTCCAGCCTATCTCTACACACTGAAGGTAGGTGACTATAGTGAATGCCTATCTCTGGTACCCCTACACCATGATGCCCAACTCTCCAGCCTATCTCTACACACTGAAGGTAGGTGACTATAGTGAATGCCTATCTCTGGTACCCCTACACCATGATGCCCAACTCTCCAGCCTATCTCTACACACTGAAGGTAGGTGACTATAGTGAATGCCTATCTCTGGTACCCCTACACCATGATGCCCAACTCTCCAGCCTATTTCCACACATTAAAGGTAGGTGACTATAGTGAATGCCTATCTCTGGTACCCCTACACCATGATGCCCAACTCTCCAGCCTATCTCTACACACACTGAAGGTGGGTGACTATAGTGAATGCCTATCTCTGGTACCCCTACACCATGATGCCCAACTCTCAGCCCTATCTCTACACACTGTGGGTGAGGTGACTATAGTGAATGCTATCTCTGGTACCCCTACACAATGATGCCCAACTCTCTGCCTATCTCTACACACTGAAGGTAGGTGACTATAGTGAATGCCTATCTCTGGCACCCCTACACCATGATGCCCAACTCTCAGCCTATCTCTACACACACTAAAGGTAGGTGACTATGGTGAATGCCTATCTCTGGGTACCCCCTACACCATGATGCCCCTAACTCTCAGCCTATCTCTACACACTGGGGATGGGTGACTAATAGTGAATGCCTATCTCTGGTGCCCCTACACCATGATGCCCCAGCTCTCCAGCCTATCTCTACACACTGGAAGGTAGGTGAGGCTAATAGTGAATGCCTATCTCTGGTACCCCTACACCATGATGCCCAACTCTCCAGCCTATCTCTACACACTGAAGATAGGTGACTAATAGTGAATGCCTATCTCTGGTACCCCTACACCATGATGCCCAACTCTCCAGCCTATCTCTACACACTGAGATGGGGTGACTAATGAGTGAATGCCTATCTCTGGTGCCCCCTACACCATGATGCCCAACTCTCCAGCCTATCTCTACACACTGAAGGTAGGTGACTATAGTTAATGCCTATCTCTGGTACCCCTACACCATTATGCCCAACTCTCCAGCCTACCTCTACACACTGAAGATAGGTGACTATAGTGAATGCCTATCTCTGGTACCCCTACACCATGATGCCCAACTCTCCAGCCTATCTCTACACACTGGTGATTTGGGTGACTACAGTGAATGCCTATCTCTGGTACCCCTACACCATGATGCCCAACTCTCCAGCCTATCTCTACACACTGAAGGTAGGTGACTATAGTGAATGCCTATCTCTGGTACCCCTACACCATGATGCCCAACTCTCCAGCCTATCTCTACACACTGAAGGTAGGTGACTATAGTGAATGCCTATCTCTGGTACCCCTACACCATGATGCCCAACTCTCCAGCCTATCTCTACACACTGAAGGTAGGTGACTATAGTGAATGCCTATCTCTGGTACCCCTACACCATGATGCCCAACTCTCCAGCCTATCTCTACACACTGAAGGTAGGTGACTATAGTGAATGCCTATCTCTGGTCCCCTACACCATGATGCCCAACTCTCCAGCCTATCTCTACACACTGATGGTAGGTGACTATAGTGAATGCCTATCTCTGGTACCTCTACACCATGATGCCCTACTCTCCAGCCTATCTCTACACACTGACGGTAGGTGACTATAGTGAATGCCTATCTCTGGTACCCCTACACCATGATGCCCAACTCTCCAGCCTATCTCTACACACTGAAGGTAGATAACTGTTTTCATGCCCAATTGTTGCTGTCTCTTGTGCCTGTATATTTTATGCTATTGAATATGTCAACTTACATCACTGCACTTTGGATGTCTTATACCTTGCCTTAGCTTCTGATATCCACAATGACTTCCTCTTTGAATGAAGCGGTGGGGTAGCCTAGTGGTTAAAGCATTCGCTTGTCACTGTGAAGACACGGGTTCGATTCCCCTTATGGGTACATTGTCTGAAGCCCATTTCTGGTGTCCCCCACTATGATATTGTTGGAATATTGATAAAAGCGGCGTGAAACTAAACTCACTCTTCTTTGAACAGATGACCTTGACCTCTGCAGCAGGAACGGATGTGTACAGACTACCAATTGGTATCCGTACTGTACAAGTGACTGAGACCCAGCTCCTGATCAATAACAAGCCCTTCTACTGCCATGGAGCTGCCAAACATGAGGACTCAGATGTAAGGATGCCGTGGTGTCTCCCTGGACATCTGGTTACAAGGACATCCGCCCTGAGGAACGGGTTCAATCGCGTCATACCAAAAGACGTTATAATATGGTACTTGTTGGTCCCTGCCTGGCGCTCGGCATTAATGGGTACAACAAGGACTGGTCGGCTCGGAGTCAGTATTATGTGTCTGAGTGGGGTATTCATGCTTCACTGCGGCATGGTATCTCAGTGGGCTAGCACTATAAAACCAGCTTCAGTCTGGGCTAGTACAAGCAGCAGTAGAAATATTCTCAAGCCCGACGTTAAACCCAATTTCACCTCACCTCACCTCTGGTTGCAAGGAGCTAGGAGTAGCAACTGGATTGGGTCGTCAGATAAAACCACCATTATATATTCTGGGATGGGGGCTTGGAATTTTGTTTGAGAAAGGATATTTTTGTCAATTGTCAGATAGGACCTACCATATTTTATGATCTGGGATGGTTTCTTGGAAGTTTGTTAGAGAAAGGGATATTTTTGTCAATCAGCGTTTCCAAATATAAAATTGTATTCTCTGTAAGGATTAACCAAACAATATTTTTCTCTTCAAAACCTCACAGCATCTAACATAAGTGTCTAATGTAGTGTTTTAACACAGTGATCTAACATTGTGTTTTGAGACATAGTGGTCTTTCATTGTAGATGGTCAGGTCTGAATCAGGCTACCCATGAAGAAAGATCCCGGTTAGAATGCTTCAGTAACCCTAAGAGGCAATTAACAGGATCGGGTGGTCAGGCTCGCTGACTTGGTTGACACATGTCATCGTATCCCAGTTGCATAGATCCATGCTTATGCTGTTGATCACTAGATTGTCTGGTCCAGATTTGATTCTTTACAGACCGCCACCATATAGCTGGAATATTGCTGTGTGTGGCTTTAAACAACAAACCAACCAACCAACTGAATCAGGCAGATTAATATTATGAGCACCAACCAATGCCATCAGGGCAACAAGCCTCACCACCACCCACTCTGTTACATGACTCTATCTAACAGCATAGGTTGGATCCATTTAAACAACGAACAAACAAGAGTGTATGGACAGAAATATGTAATGGTAAGATCAATATGTCTTGCAGCTTCAAGAAAAATCTGTCAAATGCCGTTCCGTTTGCAGATTCGAGGAAAGGGCCTGGATTATGCTCTCATAGCGAAAGACTTCAACATGCTGAAGTGGCTTGGGGTCAACTGTTTCCGGACATCCCACTACCCGTACGCCGAGGAGATCATGGACCAGGCGGACCAGCAGGGCATCATGGTCATTGACGAGAGTCCAGGAGTCGGGATTTCATCGTAGGTGGTCGCCATTAGTAGAGAACTCTCGTATAATGCCAGAAGTCTGAGAAATGTCTGTTCAGCTTTTTGTGCTTGATCTACCCTCAGAGCAGGATTTTCTTCATGAACTTGCTGAGACCTTCCAAAATGTGTTGCTCTCTTTGAGAGTTTGTCAGTTAACTGTATACCTTTTTCAAATGCTTGACTCCACTTTTTATCACACTCATCCTTTCATGTGTGTGCATAGTAGGGCTGGCTAGAAAGATCAATAATCGGAAATATAAAAGATCAATAATCGGAAATGTAAAAGATCAATAATGGGAAATATAAAAGATCAATAATCGGAAATGTAAAAGATCAATAATCGGAAATATAAAAGATCAATAATCGGAAACATAAACGATCAATAATCGGAAATACAAAAGATCAATAATCGGAAATATCATTCATGAAAAATTATTAATGATTATCGATATGAAAATAGTGTCATCGATAACATTGCACATAAGCCTTTGTGATAGAATGAAGTATTGATTTACTCATGCAATACACAAAGTTAGGTTTTACTCATGGGCTGCTTCTAAATTATGTTCAGGATGCTGTTTTGTAAGTAATCCATGCATAAACATGTCACCGCTCACCAGTGGTGTAAAATAAATTCATTTCTTTCAGACAATTTTTGGCATTTTTGCTCAAAGTTACTTGTGATAGTTATTGATTGATCAAGAAGAAGTTGATATTTATTGATAATCGATCAAGAAGAAGTTGATATTTATTGATCTGCCTGATCTATATCAATAGCCAGCCCAGTGAATGGTACAATATAGAACAAACTTTATGGGTATGACAACTTCTTTTATTAAGTGGAGTCGCGGCGTTTTGATACAGATTCTTGTACGTTGTGAAGTGAGCTAATGGAGAGCATAATGGGACATGAAGAAGGGGGAGTATATATATACTGGATGTAACAATGTAACAAAGAAAACAACATAATTAACGTAATTGGCTAGGCAGAAAGCTGATGAAGCCAGAGAGTAGACAAAGGGCAGTCGTGGAAGCCAATGATGTACAAATAATAATGAGAATCTGTATCGAAACGTCGCACTCAAGAATAAAAAGAAGTTGTTATCCATAAAGTTTGTTCTATATTGTACTTCCCAACTTCTAAAATGCCACTCAAAGAAGTTACGAGTGAATGGTGATGATTTAGTGATGACTGGTATGTTATTCAGGGATGAGAACTTCAGCAACGAGTCCCTGTCCCACCACCTGGAGGTGATGGGGGAGCTGGTGCGGAGAGACAAGAACCGCCCCTCTGTCATGATCTGGTCTGTCGCCAACGAACCAGCAACTAGCAAGGACATAGCAGCACCGTACTTCAAGTAAGGGAATTTAATACAACAGGGACCTTTAGGTTCTCTTCATTCACTATCTTGACAAGACAGTACAGAATGAAAGTCTAGAATAGAACATTAGCAGGACGAACAGAGACACCAGGTTGGCATTATTTAATAGCTGAGAACAAGGTACATTACAGGTAACAAAACTTCAAGCTGATGAAACTATACACCTAACAACCGATATCACTCAACACATCCTTCTGCTGAGCACTACAAGCCCTGTTCTTCAAAATGATCTCTGTGCTTTGACTACCCAATTCATATATTTTGACATAGACTTGAAATGATTGTATCTCTAAAATCACATTGTGGAAATGGGACCAGACCAATTAATTTTTTATGCTGAGCATGTGTAAGTTTGTAAATCTGAAACAATGTCTAATGATTTTATTTTTTTTATTTGAAAATATTTGTTTTGTAGCACCTTTCCGAACTTAAAGCCATATTTTGCCTGTTTCTTAGCCATTTCTGCATGTAACATGAAATTAACAGGATGCATATTATTATTTCTTTGTTAAGCTTCAACCTTTAACCTTTATCTGCATGACATTTATGTTGTGACTCCTCCTTCAGATCTGTGATTGGACATACAAAGAACCTTGACCCTACCCGACCTGTGACCTTTGTGTGTAACCATCACTATAATGATGATAAGGCTGTAAGTTAAACATTTGTTTATTACTTGTTTCCAGGTCAGTGATTGGTCACACAAAAGTCCTTGACCCTACCCGACCTGTGACCTTTGTGTGTAGCCAGGACTATGATAGTGATAAGGCTGTAAGTTGAACATGGATTATTTGTTTCCAGGTCAGTGATTGGTCACACAAAAGTCCTTGACTAACTTGACCTGTGACCTTTGTGTCTGATCGGGTCTATGACAGTGATAAGTTGAACATGGATTATTTGTTTCCAGGTCAGTGATTGGTCACACTAAAGTCCTTGACCCAACTCGACCTGTGACCTTTGTGTCTGACCGGGACTATGATAGTGATAAGGCTGTAAGTTGAACATAGATTATTTGTTTCCAGGTCAGTGATTGGTCCCACAAAAGTCCTTGACCCAACTTGACCTGTGACCTTTGTTAGTGATCAATGTAAAGATCTGACAACCCCTCAAATGGAGACTGCATCAGGTCAACATTTTAACCAGCCCACAAAATATCAAGGATTCAGAATTCACAACATGAGTAAACAAAGCATATCCTCTTTCTGTGTCCCGAAAGCAAACTTAAATGGACAGTTCAAGATGTGAACAACAAAGGCCATGCTATTATATTGTTGTGGATATTTTGTTAACCCTGTCATTTCCAAGTGCTGTGGCTTTCACACACCTAAGAGGGAGAACCATCAAAACAATATTTGTGTTCCATGTGTTTTTCAAATGGTAAATTCTAAATCAAGGAAGTAAAGAACAATGCTGAAATCTGATTGGCTCAAGAACCATTGCATCCTTCATATAGACTGGGCAGTCTGTTACCCACAGTGTACAAGATAGAAGATCGATTTCAGGGCTTGTTGTACAGAACCCTAATCCCTATCATTTATAGTCCCTGGTTTCCTATGTAGATATCATCTACATTCCCAGATTCCCCTTGAAGATATCATCCATATTCCCTCATTCACTGTGTGGATATCTATAAAACCAGCTATCCTATGTACCAGAAGATATTGTCTATATTTCCATAGTTTTACTATGTAGAACATATGTATTCCCATAATCTTTATGTAAATATCATCTATATTCCCACATTTCTTGTATGGATATCATCTATATTCGCTATGTGGATATAATCTCTATTCTTTGATTCTCTGTGTAGACATCATGTTTATATTCCCATATTCCCAATCAAGATATCATGTGTAATCCCAGAATTCTCATGTAGACATCATCTGTTATTTCCAGATTCCCTATGTAGATATCATCTATATTCAGGGCTATGGGGTAGCCTAGTGGTTAAAGTGTTCGCTCGTCATGCCAAAGACCCGGGTTCGATTCCCAATATGGCTACTATGTGTGAAGGCCATTTCTGGTGTCCCCTACCGTGATGTTGCTGGAATATTGCTAAAATCATACTCACTCACTCATCTATATTCGCAGATTATCAGTGTGGATATCATCTAATATTCCCAGATTCCCTATGAAAATATCTATATTCCCAGATTATCAGTGTGGATATCACTATTTAATTTTTCCTATATGGATATCATTTATATTCCATTTTTCCCATTAATTGTAGATATCATCTGTATTCCTATATTACCTATGTAGATATCTATATTCCCAGATTTCCTATGTGAATATCATCTATGTCGCCTGATTCTCCTGATTCCATATGTGGATATCATCTATATCCCCAGATTCCATATGTGGATATCATCTGTTTCAACCGATATGTGGCTACTACGGCTGGTACAGTGACACTGGTCACACAGAGGTCATTCAGCTCCAACTAGGAACTGATATGGACGGCTGGAGAAGCAAGTACAACAAGCCTCTCATCATTACTGAATATGGAGCTGACACAGTTGTTGGATTACACAGGGTAAGTACATAATCTCCTGGAGTTCATATTAGGGACTCACCCATACCACTTTACTTTCCATGTCCAATAATCTTCCCTCATTTGGGACAGAGAGGGTAGTCTAGTGGTTAAAGTGTTCGCTCATCTTGCCGAAGACCCAGGTTCGATTCCCAACATGGGTACAATGAGTGAAGCCCATTTCTGATGTCCCTGTTATGATATTGCTGGAATATTGCTAAAAGCAGCATAAAACCAGTCACTCACTCACTCCTCAATTAATCACTGAGTGTGTTTCCAAAAGGGAAGTGACCACCCACGGTTACATTAAGGCTTCAGAAATACATTGAATTGTTCCATCACAGCAGTCATCCAGGTACACACCTTCTCATGCTTTCAACCAATATAGAGATTCGGCTTCATCTGTATGCATGTTTTTCAGGACCCGTCGTCAGTGTTTACAGAAGAATACCAAGTCGATTTTATGACTGAATACCACAAACTGTTCGACACAAGGATTGGAAAATATTTAGTGGGTGAAATGGTGTGGAATTTCGCCGACTTTATGACAGTGCAAGGTAAGATTCTAGTATACTGTGGTAACTATGGTAACAAGGAAATGTCTCAGCACTGTCAGGTCTTCATGATAAGAAGGTCGGTACTGTGAGGATATTTTTCAAATATTTTAAAGTTATTCTACACTATTTTGATGCAATTTTTATTCAGATTAACTCTATCTCAGGTTTGTCGTGATGAAATAGGTAAATTATGGATTTAAGCTTTTATTATTCTTTCAGTGCAGCATTATGGTACAGATGCAATTAACTCTTGTGAACTCAAACATTACATTAAAAGAATGGAAAAATTTAAATTTTAAAATCAGCTCTGTCATCATGGTACTACAGCTTCTGAAACACCACTTGAAGACAGAGGTGTGTAGTATCGGTGTTTCTAAGCTTGTGTCAAACCTTCACATCTTGATGTGTCATTTACTTCTATAATACACAGCGCCTCCGTGGTGTAGTGGTTAAGCTTGTGTCAAACCTTCAGCCGCGGAAGGTCGTGAGTTCAATCCCCGAACACGTCATACCAAAAGACGTTAAAATATGGTACTTGTTGGTCCCTGCCTGGCACTCGGCATTAATGGGTACAACAAGGACTGGTCGGCTAGGAGTCAGTATAATGTGTCTGAGTGGGGTATTCATGCTTCACTGCGGCATGGTATCTCAGTGGGCTAGCACTATAAAACCAGCTTCAGTCTGGGCTAGTACAAGCAGCTGCACATACACATTCACACGCATGCACGTCGTCATATGAGCGAAATATTCTCAAGCACGACGTTAAACCCAATTTCACCTCACCTCTATAATACAGCTACACCTTATATGTTAGGATTCAGTTCTCAATAGGCTGAGAAGTAGAGTTTTCTCCCCAGGCTGCACCAGGATGTGCTGATAGTGATTTGTTCTCATCATGATCCTAGGTTTTACAAACCCATACACATGCTCGTGAATGTCACCCCACGGTAATGTCTTCTACCTCGAACATCACACTGTCATGCTGTTCTTTAACTGAATACAATTTAAAACAGCATGAAATAAAAGTCTCCTAATAGGTCAGTAGTTAAGATGTTCATTGTCCATCATTCTTGTTACATGGCATGACATCGGTGAGATGAAGCAGTGTCACCTAGGAGATATTGCTACTGAGAAACTGCATCACAATGCCATGTGACCAGTGTGACATCAGCTGTTACCATGACATCGGTGAGATGAAGCAGTGTCACCTAGGAGATATTGCTACTGAGAAACTGCATCACAATGCCATGTGACCAGTGTGACATCAGCTGTTACCATGACACGATTGTGAGATGAAGCCAGGTGTCACCTAGGAGATATTGCTACTGAAGAAACTGCATCATAATGCCATGTGACCAGTGTGACATCAGCTGTTACCATGACATCCCGGTGAGATGAAGCAGTGTCACCTAGGAGATATTGCTACTGAGAAACTGCATCACAATGCCATGTGACCAGTGTGACATCAGCTGTTACCCTGACATGTCGGTGAGATGAAGCAGTGTCATCACAATGCCATGTGACCAGTGTGACATCAGCTGTTACCCTGACATCCGGTGAGATGAAGCAGTGTCACCTAGGAGATATTGCTACTGAGAAACTGCATCACAATGCCATGTGACCAGTGTGACATCAGCTGTTACCCTGACATCGGTGAGATGAAGCAGTGTCACCTAGGAGATATTGCTACTGAGAAACTGCATCACAATGCCATGTGACCAGTGTGACATCAGCTGTTACCATGACATCGGTGAGATGAAGCAGTGTCACCTAGGAGATATTGCTACTGAGAAACTGCATCACAATGCCATGTGACCAGTGTGACATCAGCTGTTACCATGACATCGGTGAGATGAAGCAGTGTCACCTAGGAGATATTGCTACTGAAACTGCATCTGGTAAACAATGCCATGTGACCAGTGAGACATCAGCTGTTACCATGACATCCGGTGAGATGAAGCAGTGTCACCCTAGGAGATATTGCTACTGAGAAACTGCATCACAATGCCATGTGACCAGTGTGACATCAGCTGTTACCATGACATCGGTGAGATGAAGCAGTGTCACCTAGGAGATATTGCTACTGAGAAACTGCATCACAATGCCATGTGACCAGTGTGACATCAGCTGTTACCATGACATCGGTGAGATGAAGCAGTGTCACCTAGGAGATATTGCTACTGAGAAACTGCATCACAATGCCATGTGACCAGTGTGACATCAGCTGTTACCATGACATCGGTGAGATGAAGCAGTGTCACCTAGGAGATATTGCTACTGAAACTGCATCCACAATGCCATGTGACCAGTGTGACATCAGCTGTTACCATGACATCGGTTGAGATGAAGCAGTGTCACCTAGGAGATATTGCTACTGAGAAACTGCATCACAATGCCATGTGACCAGTGTGACATCAGCTGTTACCCTGACATAAAGGGTGAGATGAAGCAGTGTCACCTAGGAGATATTGCTACTGAGAAACTGCATCACAATGCCATGTGACCAGTGTGACATCAGCTGTTACCATGACATCCGGTGAGATGAAGCAGTGTCACCTAGGAGATATTGCTACTGAAACTGCATCACAATGCCACTGACCAGTGTGACATCAGCTGTTACCATGACATCGGTGAGATGAAGCAGTGTCACCTAGGAGATATTGCTGCTGAGAAACTGCATCACAATGCCATGTGACCAGTGAGACATCAGCTGTTACCATGACATCGATTGAGATGAAAGTGTCACCTAGGAGATATTGCTACTGAAACTGCATCACAATGCCATGTGACCAGTCTGACATCAGCTGTTACCATGACATCGGTGAGATGAAGCAGTGTCACCTAGGAGATATTGCTACTGAGAAACTGCATCACAATGCCATGTGACCAGTGTGACATCAGCTGTTACCATGACATCGGTGAGATGAAGCAGTGTCACCTAGGAGATATTGCTACTGAGAAACTGCATCACAATGCCATGTGACCAGTGAGACATCAGCTGTTACCATGACATCGGTGAGATGAAACAGTGTCACCTAGGAGATATTGCTACTGAAACTGCATCACAATGCCATGTGACCAGTGTGACATCAGCTGTTACCATGACATCGGTGAGATGAAGCAGTGTCACCTAGGAGATATTTCTACTGAGAAACTGCATCACAATGCCATGTGACCAGTGTGACATCAGCTGTTACCCTGACATCACAATGAAATGACATCACTAATCATCTCTGCAGCTGAAGCTGGTTAGCAGTACTTGCATGTGAATAATGACAAACTGTTCAAGAACCAGTTGATGCGGGTTCCTAGTATTTCCTGGTTGGCTATGTTACGGTTAATAAATTGCCATAACAAAAGAGTCCCCTTTGAACCAGCAAAATATAACACAGACAAGTCTAAAATATTCAATAATATATTGAGCAAACTATGAGCAAGCTACAATGAATGACAACTCAGATATCTAGTACAATGCAATTGAGTCACAAATCTAAAGTAATGGGTCACAAATATAAAATATCAACTCATCAGAGTCTTGACATTTACAGTCAGAGCAGATATACTGAATGAAGGTAGTTTACAATGACAGTAGTCAGGCACGCAGTGTCAGACGATGGTGATGACAGACAGATGTACACAACTCCAGTGATATGAAAAGTCCTGTGTGTTAGTCCGTGTCGCAACACAACAACCAGCCTTTATATAGCTCTTACACAGTTCTAGAGCATGCAAGCAAAGTTAAGCTGTATCATTATTCTCTCAGAACTTTATGGAAATCTGTGGAAAACTCCACGACATGACGAAGTCAACACGATAAACAACCAGTCAAGGGAGGCAACTCTGAAGCGCTATCTCAAAAGGTGTACCACTAAAAAAATACTATTGCCATTGAACATACATGATGCCAGATGTGAACTGCAACCCACACTCAAAACTTTAAACATTGTGACCCATAATAATTATCACTCAATCAATGATATCACAAATTACAAAAAACACACTCTCATAACAGCTATAAATAGCTGAATCTGTACAGTGCCCCCTAGGTTATATTGTTCTCCCGACAATATCCCATCTTTTTAATCTGAATTTGAAAACAAATGATTCTAGTAGTGATTCACTTGCAAAAGGGAGAGAATATGAACTTATGAAATGTAAGCAATGTGTCGGGTTATGAATTGTATCATACCAGTGTATGAATTAATTTTGAAAAGTCACTGGCCAAGAGGGCTAGTAAATATTTTGCTAGCTCACATCATACTTCACTGGCCCTGTTTGGCAGCTTGACTCCTGAGAGTTTCTAGGACTTCAGTTCAGCCCCAAAACGATACACATGCGTGGTCTCACCTTAGGCAAGTGAGTTTGTGCAAACTTGCTTCTGTTCACCCAGCAGAAAGTGGGTACCCGGTGGGATAAGTCATGTGACTATGAACCTTCTAGCACTTCATAAGTATTTAATGTTATCCGGGATAATAATAGTCAGATTGTGATTGTGCGCTTTTAACATGCTTAGGAATGGATATATGCACGGTACAAATATGCAATTATTATTATTTTGTATATTATTAATAGCGATCTTAGGTGTTACAAGATATATATATTAATAGCGATCTTAAACACCTTGTAACAAGAGATAATAAATATCAACAAAACTTGTGCGGACAGACTCTCCAGTTTAACACCTTTAATAATTGGCCCGATTCACGAAATCAGCTAGCATTTGGCTAAAGAACAAATTATTTGAGATTGTTCAGATTCAGCAGAGAAAGGGGGGATAGCTTCAAGGAATATATTATTGGCCTGATTCACATTTAACAGCTTTAGCACATTTGGCTAGTGGGCTCGTAGCTATTTCATATTGTTACACCTCATCGTCAAGCCAAGGAATTTTTAAGTTGTTATGTTGACATGTTTGATGTCAAACCAGGTGAGATTCTCTGTGTATCACAACGATTCTGTCACTGACTGCAGGTGTCAAACGTGTCGTGGGCAACAAGAAGGGTATGCTCACTCGTCAACGGCAACCTAAAGCAGCCGCATTCCTACTCAGGAAAAGATACCATGACCTGATGAATTCCACACGCCACCACTAAGTGACCTTGACTGCTCAATGATGCTTTCAAATAGAACAAATCAAACATAGCAACATGTCGGTGATAGAAACATGCAATCGGGTGATTCATACAAAAATGGCAATATTTACACATTGTTTAGGCAGTTATGTGGTTAAATGTGTTTGATTTTGCGTGAAGTCTTGTAATCTCTGTTAATGTATGTTTATGAAAAAATACTCAGCACAATTTTTGCATGATATTATTTTTTTAGAATATGAAGAACATGAACTCTCGTACTTAACATTCAGATTGCTGTTCTATAAACTTTGTTAAATCTGCTTGACTTTATTGTTATTAAAAATCAAGGAACCATTTAATTGTCATATGCTGATTGTGTTGTAATGAGCAATATCTTTATAAGTGCCAAAGCTTTTTCACAGTTTATGATTAATATTGCGTGAGCTTAATGCAGTTATTTGTCCTTATACTACCAAGGTCATTGTTTTGTTATCAGACAAAGACAGTTCACGATAAGATGACACATATAAATATGATAACACCTTGATGTCCATGACATAGAATTTCAGAAAGTATGTATGCATATTAGATAAATGTATAAATACCTGTCAAGTAGACACATTTACATTTTCTATGCAGACATACTTGCCAAGACTTCGCAGTATTCAACGTCAACTATCACATTCCAAGTGCCATAAATATTCTTATATTCATATTTGTGCAATAAAATCACTGTTTAAACAGTGCTATGTCTGTTGTAATCTGAATGATGATGAGTCAAAATATGAGTTGGGCATCCTTGTTTTGGGGCGGTGGGGTAGCCTTGTGGTTAAAGTGTTCGCTCGTCATATTGAAGACCCGGGATTGATTCCCTACATGAGTACAATGTGTGAAGCCTATTTCTGGTGTTCCACGCCATGATATTGCTAAAAGCAGCATAAATATAAACTCACTCACTCACTCATCCTTGTGTTGACATGTGCAGAGACCACTGAGAGTTAGTTAGGCTGCTCTCTCCAATATTCAACTACATAACTGCAGCCTAGGAGATCTGGTCCCGATTTCTCGAAACAAACTTAAGTCTGAGTTTTGACTTAAGTTAGAGATTTTACTCAAATTTGAGAAAATCCATTTCCCAGAATGAACTGAAATCGACATTAAACGCAAACATAGTAGACTATTTCAGTTTTGTGGCTAGAGTACTTAAGTTATTTGGGCTTTTTCATTTTAAAATTGCAGTTGAGTTAAAAATACAGCTGTTTCAAATTGTCAAACTCAGTTTAAAAATTTGAGTAAAAACTTAAGTTTGTTTCGAGAAATCGGGGCCTGGACCAGACAATCCTGTGTCAGCAGCAATTGTCGTCATAGTACGATGACAACTAAGTAACAAATATACGTCAGAGTGTGACCATGGTGTGACCAGAGCGTGACCAGAGTGTGACCATGGTGCATCTGGTTACCTCTAACAACCATAATCAGTCAGCATTTTAAACCCGTGAAGATCGGGGTTAGATCCGGGTTAGAATTGATCTTCAGCAACCCATGCTTGTCGTAAGATGGGACTAACATGATTGGGTTGTCAGGCTCGCTGATGTATGTCATAGTTTCCCAATTGAGTAGATCGATGCTTATGATGTCAATCACTTGATTGTCTGGTCCAGACTCGATCATTTACAGAATGTTGTCATATAGCTGAAAAATTACTGAGTGCAGCATGAAACAACAGACAAAACAAAAAATAACCCTGTGAAATTACATCACAATGCCATGCAGGCCAGTCTGACATCATCTGTTACCATGACATCACAATGCCATGCAGGCCAGTCTGACATCATCTGTTACCATGACATCACAATGCCATGCAGGCCAGTGTGACATCATCTGTTACCATGACATCACAATGCCATGCAGGCCAGTCTGACATCATCTGTTACCATGACATCACAATGCCATGCAGGCCAGTGTGACATCATCTGTTACCATGACATCACAATGCCATGCAGGCCAGTGTGACATCATCTGTTACCATGACATCACAATGCCATGCAGGCCAGTGTGACATCATCTGTTACCATGACATCACAATGTCATGCAGGCCAGTGTGACATCATCTGTTACCATGACATCACAATGAAATGACATCACTAATCATCTCTGCAGCTGAAGCTGGTTAACAGTACTTTCTCCATTCAACACTCCAGTCATTTGGGTCTACAAAGTGAAAACTTTGAAAGACTGGTTTCTTATGATACGTATGATAAATTGAGTCTCACCGTTACGTCTTTTGATATCAAACATATCAGCACTCTTTGATTACACCAAGCAGTGGTGTAATATGGAAATAAAGTATTGCAATAAGTCAGCAACCCATGGTTGTCGTAAGAGGTGACTAACAGGATCATATGGTGGTCTTTCATTGTAGATGGTCAGGTCTGAATCAGGCTACCCATGAAGATCTGGGTTAGAATCGATCTTCAGTAACCCATGCTTGTCGTAAGAGGCAATTAACAGGATCGGGTGGTCAGGCTCGCTGACTTGGTTGACACATGTCATCGTATCCCAATTGCGTAGATTGATGCTCATGATGTTGATCACTGGATTGTCTGGTCCAGACTCGATTATATACTGACTGCTATCATAAAGCTGGAATATTGCTGAGTGCAGCGTTAAACAACAAACAAACAAATCATGATACAATACATCAATTACAACTGCTGTATCGTAATACATACAATACATTTCATATAAATAACAGAATTTGCACAGTGCCCCTAAGTATATTTTTTCTCCCTTACAATATATCACCTTTGCTATCTAAAACAATTTACGTGGGATCATAGGGGTAGTGTGGCAGCCTAGTGGTTAAGGCCTTCGCTCGTCACGCCGAAGACATGGGTTTGCCTACATGGGCACAATGTGTGGAGCCCATTTCATTGGAGCTAAAAGCGGCGTTAAACTAAACTCACTCACTCACATGTGTTCATACACCTGCACAAGAGAGAATATGAACTTATGAGGTGAGTGATTGAGTTTTGTTTTACTCCGCACTCAGCAATATTCCAGCTATATGGCGGCGGTCTGTAAATAATTGAGTCTGGACCAGACAATCCAGTGATCAACAGCATGATCATCGATCTACGCAACTGGGATACGATGACATTTGTCAACCAAGTCAGCGAGCCTGACCACCCGATCCTGTTAATTGCCTCTTACGACAAGCATGGGTTGCTGAAGATCAATATTCTAACCCGGACCTTCACGGGTATGAACTTATGAAATACAAATGATATCTCGAAATACGAATCATATCACACCGTATTATTGGGATACGTCTTATTGCACTCACTATATTGTTCCACCTCTATTGTCAAACTTAGGAATTTTTAACTTTTATGACTCATGTTGACCTGCTTGATATCAAAACGCTCAGGTGAAATTCTCTGTGTATCACAATGACTCTGTTACTGATTACAGGTGTCACCCGAGTCGTTGGCAACAAGAAGGGCATGCTCACTCGTCAACGGCAACCTAAAGCTGCCGCATTCCTACTCCGGAAAAGATACCATGACCTAATGAATTCCACACGTCACCACTAAGTGACCTTGACTGCTCAACGGTGTTACAAATGTTACATACCTAACTGATAAATCTAGAATAGCAACATAACAGTGACAGAAATATTCACTTGGGGTACTTACACAGGGTGATTCATCTGAAATTTGCATCACAAATTTGGTTAAATGTGTTTGATTATTGTAATTTCTGTTATTTTATGTTTAGTATACTCAGCGCAATGTTTGCATGATATTAATTTATTATTTAAAATGAAGAATATGAAATCAAAATCAAATGTCATTACCACAAAATGTCAAGTTAATACCATAATTAGAATTAATCTAACAAAAGATTTTTGACCAACTACAAAACAGTTCTGACCAAAGTTTTTGTGAAAAAAAGTTATAAAAGGATGAAAAGCCCCAGCATGGAGATCCAGTTGCACATCCAGTATTAGTACTTTGTTTTTGTAAATACTTGACATATCACTGTGTGATACTGAGGGATTCACAGGGTAAGTGTATGTATATATACAGCCATTTGTAACAGTGCGGGCGCATTCAGTAATTATGTATTGGTGTTGATATATATACACATACTTTACTTTTGTCTAGTGTTAGTATGCTTCAAAACTGGGAGAGTACTTGGCATGTCATTGATTTGAAAGTTTAGTGTCAATACAACTCACTTGTATTGCAATATTTTGATACATCAAATAATACCCAAATATGTTTTTGTTTGGGCCACACCAATTCTATTTCTTGTTTTGGCCAAAATGTAATCCTTACAAGCAGGTCTTCATATGTATTTTTCAAGAATAAGAAAAAAAATATTAAAATTAATTTTTCCCTCCCCGCTGGCCTATTGTATACAAAAATAAAATCCTTTCAAGCTAAATTTGTATTGATACAGTATGGATATAACATTTGGTAGATACATCAGTATACATTGCTCACCCCTCCATCCCACTGCAGCTGTGAAGAGCTGCAAAGTTGCTGATGTGGCTTAAAGCAATGTTCACTCACTCAACACCACTGCTTCCCTTCAGCTGTCTGCAAGACTCGTGTAGTTTAGTTGACATATTTAGAACATCAGGATAATGATGAAGACCTTTTTGTTCTTAACACTACTTCATCATTGTCCTAAATATTAATAATTTACATGATTGATGGCATATCAGATTGTTTTCCCTAAAGAACAATGAAAGATAATGTCAAATGTACCATTATGATCTGTGATGATATCAGTGTGAAAAGGGACCCATAAAGTTGTCAGTGAGCGGAGTTAATCACTAGGGATGGCCATGTACATAATATATCAAGGACATATACCAATCAAGTTTCTGTGTCGAGGTCACGTCTCATGCCATCCATTATCTCTCCCTGGCATCCTTGAACTTACTGCTGAATCACACAACTGTCTGACTGTGCTAGACTCTCACTCAGCAGATTGTCCATCTCAGTAGGTCATGAACCTCAGTTGTGTCGGACTCGAATACAGTACATTACAGTATTTTAGTTTATGTGGAACTGTCAATATTTCTGGTTACAGACTCTGTGAAATACTCAGGTATTTTTCATTAAAGCAGGATATTTTTACAGTCAGTGCTACAAGACATTCATTTTTTTCCTGAAAGGAATTCTGTCCCTCAATACTTAATTTTTAAGAACAGATATTTTATTTGGGATAGGGTGGAGTTGGTTGTGAGATATCTGATTGCAAATAATTATTCATCATTTCCAGGACCTGTTTCCCTCCCCAACTTCTATTATCCAATGGTTATCCCTTTAATAATAGCTAGTGGTGTTCCAATGATCGAAAATCGATCAAAAGAAGGATTAAAAATGATTATCGATTGTAAAAGAAATATTTTTGATTAATCAGAATTTTGTTGTTCTTGTATAACACCCTTGAATTAAGTATACTTACCATATAATTTGATGAATATTCACGAACAAACATGCGCTCAACAGCGTAAAGCTATGCGCATTGTAAGATTTTAACCACTTTTATTGTTTAACTACAATTCCAGTGTCTTACTTGCATGCAAGCATTTCATTGCATGACAGTATTAGTTATAAAAAAAAACATTAAGTAGAAAAAACCTGGTGAAAAACCCTTAACATTGGTGATTACATTAAAAATGTATATATTTCGATAATAGTCGATAATCATTCACCACAAGTCCTCCGATAATCGTTAGTGGATTTGGTTTCCGATTCCAACACTAATAATAGCAAAGCCTGTTCTTGGTGTACCCAATAATCAACACCCAAAGAGGAAACGTCATGATTCTGTGTACATGTACATTGTTCTATAAAGGTGTACTGTCCAAACTTTGATAAAGTACGTTTGACCTTATGGTTATCAACATTCAAGGAAATTGTCACATGCTGATTGTGTTCTAATGAGCAATATCTTTACAAGTGCCAATGTTTTGTCACAGTTTATGATTAATGTATGGTTAATACAGTACTTACTCATTATACTACCAAGGTTATTGTTCTGTTATCAGGCCGACAACGCATAAAAAAGTATATGATAACACATAGCTATATGATAACGCATAGCTATATGATAACACATATCTGCTGTCCATGACATAGAATTTCAAACATTCTGTATGCATATCAGATTACGGTTTAAATATTCATGTCAAGTAGATACATTTACAGTTTCTATACAAACATACTTGCCAAGACTCTGCAGTATTCTATATGCGAACTATCACATTCCAAGTGCCTTATATATTCTATATTCATATTTGTGCAATAAAGTTACTGTGTAAACAGTGCTGTCTGTTGAATGATGACTCTTAATTATGAATTGGGAATACTTGTATTCACAGCATGCAATTTTTATGTGCGGAGAGTTAGTAAGGCTGCTCTCACCAATATTCAAGCTACATAACTGCAGCCTAGGAGATCTGGACCAGACGATCCTGTGATCGTTACTGTCAGCAACAATCCTCATTGCATACGATAACAAACAAGTGACAAATCTACATCAGAGTGTGACCATGGTGCATCAGGTCACCTCTAACTACCAGCATGCTTGTCGTAAGAGGCGACTATCGGGATCGGGTGGTCAGGCTTGCTGACTTGGTTGACACGTCATCGGTTCCCAATTGCGCAGATCAATGCTCATGCTGTTGATCACTGGATTGTCTGGTCCAGACTCGATTATTTACAGACTGCCGCCATATAGCTGGAATATTGCTGAGTGCAGCGTAAAACTAAACTCACTCACTCACACACTCACTACCAGCATCAACCAGCAATTCTAACCCAAAAGTTGTTATTACTGGTTAGAACAGGTATGTGAAGTCTGAGCTGGTCCAGTGGTATCTGAGAAGATTATGACAAAGATACAAGACAGATGCTGGACAAACAGGCTGCAACATAAACTCACATAACTTGAAATTAGGTGGACTATAATATTTGCATAACATATTTTTCACGTTTTTTCTTTGTTTTGGGGTGTGAAATGACATGGAAATGCCCTGAAAGTATATTCTGCAGTATGCGAGTAGAAGTCAGCTACTGGGATCTAGAAATGGAGATAAATCATTTAATCTGTGACATTTGGAAAAACAAAACACACATGGTAGTTCAATAGTTTATTTTATCGCAATTCAACACTGGAACACTTTGTAGGTTCAATCTCCTGCTAACATCAATAACACATGCAACTATACCACCAGCTCATCAATGCTTGTGTACAAGGGTGCCAATTCAAGGGAGCTAATTCTTGCCACATATCAAGCCCTGTTTATCCAGAAGTCAATGTGCAGTATGAAGGATGCAAATTAATGTTTAGCTGGTACAGTATGTTATTTTATCTTTTATTTCAAAGACTGACAAATCAATATAATATTTAGTCCTAACCTAATGAGAATGCATGGTCATTCATTAAATGTGAAAATCCCAGTGTCAATTACTTGAACTATCTGTGTACACTGACATTACCCAGTTGTTTTGTTATGTTATGTCATATGGGCATTATAAGTGCTTGTTTATTACATTGTCACATTGTTAGTTGGAAACCTGAGTGTTTTTCTCATAATATTGCAGCTCTGTAAGATCTCTGCACTGGAATCACTCACTTTCATTCACTCACTCATACACACTGGCGACAGTGTTGGCATTTAGACACTGATGAAGTCGTGCACCACAACAATGATACATCAGGCATCATTATGAATTCATTGATCACACGATAACTGTGGAGGCTTCAGTTATGACCGATCCCTCTGTATGACATCAAACAGTGCTCCCAATCTTGACGCTAGATTGTTTATGTCACACCGTTCTACACTGAAGAAGCCTCCAAGGCAGTCAAGTCTGCCAGACTTGGGTTCACTCTGTCGAAGTCGATCTGCAGTGAGTCGGCAAGGCTACCGAGGGGGAGGGGGGACCGGCTGTCGGCAAGTCCCAACTGGTTCTTTAAAGCATCTCTAGCTGCCATCTCCTCTGCTATAGCCAGCGTCTCACCTGGTGCTGAGGACTTTAAACAAAAAACAACGTGAAATTAAATTAACATTATCCAACCCATCTTATTACAAGTGTTGTGATTCACAGTTGTATCATTGCATCATTATTGGTTTTACACCACATAATCTGATCCATGATATGTACAACACACCTAACCTCACTGAAGGATGTGTGGTTTCCACATTGTAGAGTTAACGTGGTAATATGACAATCAGTTACTGATTCTGACCACCCAGTCCATTTGTTTGCTTCATACAACCAGCATACGCTGTGGACCAATTCTAACTCTTCATGTGATAAAGGTGAGAACTGGGGCTTAATGGATACTTAAGGAGGCAGACCATTACCCAGTGGTGACAGGTACAGGTGAGGTGAAATGGGTTTAACGTTGTGCTTGAGAATATTTCGCTTATATGACGACGTGCATGCGTGTGTATGTGTATGTGCGGCTGCTTGTACTAGCCCGGACTGAAGCTGGTTTTATAGTGGTAGGTCACTGAGATACCATGCCGCATTAGACTGACTCCGAGCCGACAAGTCCTTGTACCCATTAATGCCGAGTGCCAGGCAGGGACCAACAAGTACCATATTTTAACGTCTTTTGGTATGACGGGTCGGGGATCGAACCTGCGACCTTCCGCTCTCTGGGCGGACGCTCTAACCACTACACCACGGAGGCGGTCTGACAGGTACAGTGTTTGAAAACAAAACATATCACTGGCACAAAGCTGGGAAAAAATTTGATGACATCACTGGATCAGGATGATCATTTGAATGAGAGATGTCCAAGGTTGTAAGGAGTTTAAACTGAACTTTAACCAGAATGTGGATGTCGCACAGATACTCACACTGGCCCAGGAGACGTCCATCAGAGTATATGCCAACATAGTACAGGGACATCACTGTCTGGGAGGCGGAACTCCATTGTAACCTGAAGCCACATCACAGATTCATATCACTTCATTTTCTAGGACACTAGAGATTTGTTTGCATCCATCCATCCATCCATCCGTCAACCATTCACCCATCCATCCATCCGTCAACCATTCACCCATCCATCCATCCGTCAACCATTCACCCATCCATCCATCAACCATCCATCCATCCATCAATCCGTCAACCAATCACCCATCAATCCGTCAACCAATCATCCATCCATCCATCAACCATTCACCCATCCATCCATCCGTCAACCATTCACCCACAACCATTCCATCCATCCATCAACAATTCACCCATCAACCCATCAACCATCCATCACATCATCCATCCATCAACCAATCACCCATCCATCCATCAACCATTCACCCATCCATCCATCAACCATTCACCCATCCATCCATCAACCATCCATCCACAACCATCCATCCATCAACCATTCACCCATCAACCCGTCAACCATCCATCCATCAACCATTCACCCATCCATCCATCCATCAACCATTCACAATCCATCCATCAACCATCCATCCCCATCCATCCATCCATCCACCCATCAACCATTCACCCATCAATCCCATCCATCCATCCATCAATCCATCCATCTGTCAACCATTCATCCATCCATCAACCATTCACCCATCCATCCATCAACCATCCACCCATCAGTCAACCATCCACCCATCCATCCACAACCATTCACCCATCCATCCATCCATCAACCATTCACCCATCCATTCATCAACCATTCACCCATCCATCCATCCATCAACCATTCACCCATCCATCAACCATCCCACCCATCCATCCATCCCATCAACCATTCACCCATCCATCCATCCACAACCATTCACCCATCCATCCATCCTTTATGCATCTGTCCATCCATTCATCTGGGGGAGGGACAAAATCCCATAGGACAAAATTTCAGTGGACAAAATCCCACACCAAAATAGCCAACATGGGACAAAATCCCATTTTCATATGTTATTGCTACCCTTTTTCACCAGTTTTAATTAGTATGTCTTCATGACAGAAGCCAGTGGGTTTTGTCCGGGTGGGATTCTGTCCTAGACATTCTCATCCATCCATCATCCATCCAGACATCATCCAGACTTACACACACAGAGACTAGCATGGTTACTTGGGAGTATTAGACAATACCATCCATCCTGTTGCACCTACCTGGGTTCTGGAGCTGGCCGCCCCTCCCTTGACAACATGTCCTCCAGGAGCCCCATAGGGTTGGAGATAGTCCACAGCTCTGCAATGTCTGCTTCAATCAGTTGAGGCAGCACAAAGTCCCGAACAAAAAATGAGCTCTGTCTCTGCCCTGAAAATGAAACACACCTTTCCTTTAGAATGGTTTTCATGTAAGTGACTTACACTAATCAATAAAATCATGGCGGAATGTCGTCCATGCGGCATATGGTTACAATGAAAATGCTACTCGTACAATATGAAGAGTGGGTTATGTACCTGGTCATGTTGAAGTGCTCCAATGACTGCTTGGAGCGTTTCAGTCAGAGTCTCCGCACCCACCGGGAACTCCTGCCAACACCAGACACAGTATCATGACTGACTGATATTTACAACATAGCTTACAGTATTTGTAACATGTTGAAGTCAAACATGTATCTACATAACTACATTCTGCACCATTCAGTATTAAGTATTCCTGAAGAGGTTTTAAATTCTTTGAAGAGAGTCGCCCTTTGGGTACATATTATGCATTTTCCGGGCTGAAAATGTCCTGTGACAGTTGTATCAATGTTTTTGAATAAAAATATTGTACAATAAATAAAAATCTTTTTATTTATTATACGGCCCCCACCTCGTGGAGTTACCTCCCGTTGCGCATGCGCACCAACTGGGTAAGCACCTAGGCCCGTATCATCATTCCTTCTGCTGAATAAATCAGTGAACAGAATTGCGGGAGTTGGAGGGTTCTACCCCAAGGACGACTCTCTTCAAAGAATTTAAAACCTCTTCAGGTTTGGTTAATTCTTTTTCATAGAGATCGTCCTTGGGGTACATATTATGCATAAACACAGACTCCCAAAGACCGGAGGCCAGGGAGGAGGGAATTCTGTCAAAGCACACACAAATAGCGATCGTTAATCTGAATGATGGAACAGACGCCATAATCACTCACCTGTCACATGTCCCGGTTTGCGCTTCCGCGAGAGGCATTATGGGAGGGTAACCGACAGGGAGGAAATGTACTCATAGACAACCTCGCAGGTTAGCATAAGAATTCGCACATGGTGCGAATGTAAACAAACCCCACCCACCTTGTGTCGATTAGAGAGCACCGTAGGGGGGAAAAAACGCTCACGACCGACCATAGTCTCCGTAGAGGATCGAAAGGAGGTTATACACCCAGCAGCGGACATGTCAATAAAACACAATATTGAACAGCAGCGTCAACAAAACCAATGAACCAAGACTCACTCGGTCAGGGTGGCAGGACACTGTCCACCGGAGAGAACAGAACGGCCAAAGCTCGCACGATTACGAGAATGTGTATCGAGCTGATAGTGCCGAATAAACGTGCTAGGCCGGCTCCAAATAGCGGCAGAGCAGATCTCTTCAATGGGGAGTGCCGATGCAAAAGCTTTTGACGTGGCTACTGCCCTGACCGAGTGAGCCTTCAACCCCTCAGGGGGAGGCTTGCCCTTAGCCTGATACGCAGCACAAATGACCGAGACGAGCCAGCGAGACAAAGTCTGCTTGCTCGCCGGCACACCAGCCTTCCCGCCACCGTAACAACAGAACAGCTGGGTACCCGTACGGATCCCCTGTGTTCGTTTGATATAGACCTTGAGAGTCTTACGGACATCCAACGGGTGAGTGCTCGTAGGAGAGGTCCCCGATGTGGAAGGCTGGGTAAGAGTAGGAAGTTCGATAGGAGCTGTCACATGGAAAGCTGATCGACCTTCGGGCGTAAGTATCCGGGAGGCTAATACTGACACGATCAGTGTGGAACACAGTCAGCCGGTCGGACGACATAGCATGTAAGTCGCCAACCCTACGCCCAGATGTTACCGCCACCAGAAATACAGCCTTCCAGGTTAACAACTGAATGGAAATAGCCGATAGACGGAGAACGAGGGACCGACAGCCAATCGAAAGCACAATTGACAAATCCTAAGGTGGGCTGGTTCGCCTGACAGCAGGTCGAACCCGATCCACGCCAGCTAAAAAGCGCTGTACGAGAGGGTGCTGCCCCAGAAGAGCACCATCGACAGGGGTGTGAAAAGTGGAAATAGCGGTGGAGTAGCCACTCTAATGGTCGGCCGCCAGGCCTTCTTCCAAACGAGCTTGCAAAACTCCAATACTCGGACTAAATCCGCAGAAAAGGGATCTGCAATCCCCCTATCTGAACACCAGCGCATAGCGGGACCACCTATCCTCCTGACTGAACGCTTGTCGAATCCCACCGGCCAGAATTGTGTCTGCAACTGCTGCAGGAATTCGCGGCTTCGGAGGCTAGACCTGACAGAGGCTGCCACCCACTGAATCTGCGGATTGGGGTGTGGCTACCGCTCTGAGTGAGAATGTCCGGTCGCAAAGGTAATAGAACAGGAGGCTGAGCCAGAAACCTGAGAATTACCGAAACCAGCTCTGTGGACGGCCAAAGCGGTGCCAGTAGCACAAGCAGCCGAGCTGGCTGGGTGGACAGCTGTGAGAGGACACGGGAATGAGTGGTAACGGCGGAACGCCCAGAGCACTTTGCCCGTCCAATCCAGCAGGAAGGCGCCGGCAGCCAACGCCCTCGGTCCGTATTTGAGAGCAGAACACGGTGTCTGATTCGCCCCGCCGACGCAAACAGATCCACCTGGAACGTAATCTCGCATAACTGGGAGATAACTCCAATATCTGCCGGTCGAAAGCATCCACTGCAAGGGCCAGGATCCGCGAGAGAGCGCCTGCTCGCACGCTCTCCAGCCCCGGAGATAAACAGGGAGTACCTGACAATCGCACTGGTCGCACCAGAGGAGAAAGTCCCATGTCTCCCCGGAGGAGCGGGACACCGCGTCGCCTTTGCTTCAGGATGTAACGACATGGCCGCCTGGTTGTCCAACTGAAGACGAACCACCTGGCCCTGGACATGCTCTCGAAGCGCCGAAACCAACCGCGACAGCTCTCAGTTCCAACACGCTGATGTGAAGGTGGGCTTCGGCTTCGGACCAGAGTCCGGACGCCGACAGACTGCCCAGAACACCCCCCCAGCCCGTGAGGGACGCATCGGTCTGAACTGTAAGAGCTGGCGTCGGGATTTCCAAGGGGACCCCCTTGGAGAGATTCCCGACATTGGTCCACCACTGAAGGTGAGGAGACAACCACCCGGGGACTGTGAGACTCGGCCCAGGTCCTCCGAGTGAGCCCACAGACTCGCCAAAGCTTGCTGTATAGGGCGCATCCTCAACCGCGCCCGCCACACTACAGAGATAGTCGCCGCCATATGGCCCAGTAGACGGAGCCAAGTCCGTGCTGGTGCCTGGGGCTGGGAGAGGAACGAAGACACCATCTCCCGTACTCTGGTGACCCGGTCGGGCGACAAGGAAACAAGATCCTTGTGAGTTTGGAACCTCACCGAGAAAACCAAGTCCTGGGTGGGTACCAGGTCGGATTTCTTGAGGTTGATGATCCACCCCAGTCAAACTAGAATGTCTATCACCTTGTGAGTAGAATCTAGGCTCGCTGGTTGTGTTCAGTGCACCGAAAGCAACCAGTCGCCGAGGTAAGGGTAACAACGCCTTCCTTGCTTAACGAGCGAGGGTAGCCGCACTAACATGAGCTTGGTGAACACCCTGGGGCAGTGGATATGCCGAAGGGGAGCACCGTGAATTGGTAACACATCCCGCCGTAAGAGAACCGAAGGTACTGCTTGAACGATGGATGTATGGGCACATGCAGATACGCGATCCTTTGAGGTCGATTGACGTGAGCCAATCGCCGGGCTGAACAGAGGAGATCACCGAAGCGCAGTGTCTCCATCTTGAAGGATGGAACTTCGAGCATGCGATTCAACCCCTTGAGGTTGAGAATGGGACGGAACCCGCCGCCTTTCTTCGAACGAGGAAGTACGCGGAGTAAAAATCCCCGCCTGTTCCTCGCCCGGTGGTATAGGCGCTCTATAGCGGACTTGTCCAGCAAAGCCTGGACTTCGTCCGCGCAGTATGTCCGCCTCGCACCTGACATGACGGCACGGAGGAGGGCGATGCCGGTGAAGTCTGGCGGACCTCTCCACAGTGGTAAATGGCCGACACTGACGGTGGACAGCACCAAGCTGTTGCTTGTAGCCTTCTCCCACCCGCAGGAATAGAGAGAGGCGGCCTCCCACTGGGACGCTGGGTAAGAGCGCGGAGTGGTCCCGAAGTAGCGGAGCTGACTGGGAGTGACACACGCCTACAGCCTGATGGGTTAACGGGAGGTCGGGCAGACCTCCCCGCCGCGCTAAAAGGCTGGGAGCCAGTCAAGAGGACTGCTCCTTGCCCTTACCCTTGGCGGGACGGCTCCTCCGCCTACCCCTGCCGAGCGGCCCAAGCCAGCCAGCAGACTCGGGTGTAGGCTGCACCCCGGAGGAGGAAGCCGGAACGGAGCTGGGGGGCGAAGCCCGCTGGCTGCTCCAACAAGGCCTTGGAGTCCTTGAAGGAGGTAGCTGCAGCGCAGCCTCCCCGGATGACCTGCTGGGCCCCAGGAAACAACGCCGCCCCAGACGGTAGGGGAGGGCCAGCAAGGTCTGCTGTGTAGCCGCCGAAAGTACCGAGACGCCGACAGCCACAGCTTTGCGATCCCCATGACTGCGCGACATCACCGCCGACGCCGCCGACCGCAAGGAGTCGCTACAGGTGGGCCTGCACTCTCGGAAAGTTGACGGAGGAGAACAACATGCTGAGAAACGCCTCCAGCGTGCTCCCTCCGCTTCCAGGGCCGACCTCTGAATCGAGGAGAGGTAGGCCTCGCGGGACCACCACCCGCACCTGCTGCATAGCTGCCCGCAAACCTCCTCGTAGGTCCGGGTAAGCATGCCGCAGGGGATGCCCGCCAGGGCAAAAGGTGGCGCCAAACGCCTTGCCTGGCAGCCGGAGCTGCCCGAGGAAGCCGAGCCTCCCCAGGGCGCACCGGCGAACACACATTCGCCGCACCACTGGCACGAAGAACAGGGAATCTTCCCCCAGCTGGTACCTCCTGACAAGCTCTGGCAAGTCAAAGCGGAGGCGTGACCCAGCCAAGAGGGGATCCACCACGTCCTGCACCAAGGACGGCAGAATGCGGAGCAGCGCCTGCATGGGTTGCCTAGGGCAAACGCCGCCTGGTAAGCGGAACTCAGTCGAATCCGAGCGGCTGGTAGGCACCGCGGCCTGGGGAATGTACTCGGCAATGCGTAGCCGGACTTCCCTCAGAGCCGTCGAGAAACGGAAGGCACCCTCCGGCTCCTCGACCTCCCCAATGTCCATGGACTCGGCGCCCGAGCCCGAGTCCGAGGCTGGGTCTCCTCGCGAAGAGGACCCGAACCCCGACTCGGTGGGCGGCCGCGCACCAGACACAGAGGGAAGGGAAGAACCGAAGCAGCGCCCTGCTTCAGTGCCCGACACCACGCTCGAACTCCGGTCCCGAGACGCAGGAGGAAGACCAGGCAAAACTGGTACCTCCGCTCTCATGGGGCGGGACGGCGCAGGGACCGGAACCCCAGGAATCCTCAACGGACCCTGCGCCAACTCCGAGAGGGGGACTGGGAGCGAAGCCTCCCCCTCCGGGGCAGCCGAGGCGTCCGGACCCGAAGCCAGAGGCAACGGATCAACAGACGCCTCCAGGCCGAGGGATCGAGCCGGCTCGGGCATCCCACCCCCAGACTCTCCGCCCCCGCCCGAAAGTGGCGCAGGAACTCCTGGCGGAGACCTCCAACCGACTCGTGAACAAGGGACTTCACCGAGTCCATGTGCTGCTGGAATAATTGCGTGATTAGAGACATGTCGAAACCGCTAGGAGCAGTGGAAGGCGACTGACTGCGCGATCTAGCCTTTCTGCCTTTACTTTTTGGCTTTTTAGCTTTAGACGGGGACCTGGGTCAGTTCCCCTCCCGCCTCTCTCAATTCCCGATAGAAGAGAAAGTCTGCAGCCCGCCTCTTCTGGGGCTCGGGGAGAAGCCCATACATATCTCGCACGTGTCAGGGGTATGGCCGCCTTTTTCAAGGCACACTAGACACTTATCATGACGGTCTGCACGGGGAATACTCTGCCCGCAGACAGTACAACCCGAAAACGCCTGAAAGCAAACACGCAAGCATGTAGCTAACAGCGGACCAGCAGCATAATATACACGTATAAAACATTGAAAAAATACGCGGAATGCGACCACGGGAAGAAATAGTTGGTTAAAACGCAATATTACAACCACGTGGCACGCAAAACTTCCCGCCATGGAATAGCAACACGTGCGTAAACCACGGGAAAGTTAGCGTAAAATAAGGAATACAAAGTCACAATTATGAGACAACCGACCGCAAAGCTTTACTGTTCCTTTCAAGGACAATATAAAGACCATACATACAGGTGGTGGTGTCCCAGACATCAGTCTCTTAACTTCAAAAGAGTTCAGCTCTGCACGACACATCCGTATACGGCAGTGACAGCAGAAGGAATGATGATACGGGCCTAGGTGCTTACTCCAGTTGGTGCGCATGCTAACGGAGGTAACTCCACGAGGTGGGGGGCCGATAATAAATAAAAGATTTTATTTATTGTACAATATTTTTATTCAAAAACATTGATACAACTGTCACAGGACATTTTCAGCCCGAAAATGCATAATATGTACCCCAAGGACGATCTCTATGAAAAAGAATGGAAACTGACACATAAAACACATGACAAGCAAACACTTTCACAAGGTCATACCATAAAGAGACAAAAGAAGTTCAGCTAAATCTTAGGCCTACCAGCTATAATAGTCTGTGTTTGTAGTGAACGCGATGCCGATGAATTTTCACTTTTAAACAAAAGCGTAAATCAAAATAAAGTGAAATTGCGATCCTCATGATTTTAATTTTGCCAATTGAACATTTAAATCTCAGAATTTTATTCAACTTAGGATATAAAGTTGTTTAACAAATGATCATGAGTTTCAAATAGCTATTATTGGTTTGTATTACAAGGGGGTATGCACATTAAATGAAACCTGGACAGGAGAACACTGGCGCTTACTCCCTTGTAATACAAACCAATAATAGCATTTGAACGCATTTCAGAAATTCAGAAATTTAAATGTTTAATTGGCAAGGTAAAATTATGAGGATTCGCTAACTTAATTTCACTTTATTTGATTTACTTTTTTGTTTAAAGTGGAAATTCATCGATCGGTACGCTTTGACTGCAAACAGACTATAAGCATGTTTTCAAGTTTAACTCCTCTAAAGTGCATACTGTTTTCCATACCTTACTCCTCTCCTCAAACAAGTGGGGATAAACATGGCAACTACAGATAGGCCTTGATGTATATGAAAACCCATAGACTCAGACCCTTATGTGTATGTCCCTAAATAACACACTGTACACGGCTATTTTGCGGGATTATAGGAGTGATTCATTATATGAATACCTTACCTTACTAAGTGCCCACTAGTGTTTAAACTACAGCTTATGTGTATGTCCTACTTGAAACAACATTATTTATTGTTGTTTGTTTGTTGTTTTAACGCAACACTCAGCAATTTTTTAGCCATATGATGGCGGTCTGTAAACGGTATGGTCTGGACCAGACAATCCAGTGATTGACAGCATGAGTAATCCAATCAGCTCCCCAATCAACTGAATTGTGATGTTTGACAGAAAGAAATGAGGTTTTCCTGCCTAACACATGTGCAAGAGCACTGGTCAGTGCAAGACCATCATCCATATGAATGATTATGGATTATTATTTTCTATTATAGGATATTTGTATAGCGCACATATCCATGCAACTAGTACATGCTCAAGGCACCTGAGTGTTCCCTTGACCAACGGATGTCTTTTTTTCTGGCATTCTTTTTAACCAACTCAACTCCCTGGGGAGTATTCAACTCATGCAGCCTGTTAGGCGCAGCGAGTTATCACACAGCCTCATCCTCACAAGGATAACTGGCATTTGAGGACAATTTTTGAAAATCTAATGTTAACCAAAAGCCAAAATACTGTGTTATGGCAAACATGTAACAGAGGTGCAGTATTCACAAGTACTACTCCTATTTAAAACAATGCTAACAACAAGAACATTAATGTGCTTTACGGCTGATGATGTCAAGGGAGGTAACTCTCACCAGTAGCTGCTAATTCTTGGTTATCCGTTAGACCAAGCGGTGCAGCATCAAGGTCAATTCCCAGCTCTTGTCGCCTTTGTTCTTCTTTCTCAATGTATGATCTACACAGATGGAAGAAATCTACATTATATACTAATTTTGCCATGTTCACACAAGGCCGTTCTCGAACACTGACAGTACAAACCATACACTAAGGCTGTAGAAACACTTACAATCGGATTGCTGTGTCTTGAAATATCCACCGGCCTTGTCATTATTAATTAGTCCAGGGATTTACAGGACGCGAATTCCTGCGTCCTATACGCATAAAATTTGACAATGGACGCAACAAAATTTATTAGAGCATCCACAGGGATGCAGAAAAAGTCCAAATACTTTTTGTAAAAATTCCAATCAAGTAACGTTAAGTTATCACTGAGTTTGTAACTAGTTGGGTTATGGTATCATTTGCAATTTAATTACTGTAACAATGTGATGATCATGATACACAATACAATACAATAACAGTATTAGTAATAATATTTAAGTGTCTGGGAGCTCCATTTTGTAGTCCAAGACCCCTGAAAATTAAGAGTATGAGTCCCAGGGGCCCTCAAATACAGGACTCGAGGTAAATCCCTGTTGGTCATATGAAAACAATGTGTGTTCTTTAACTTATTTTGTGTAGTATACTTACTCTTGACATTGCTTTGCCTGTAAACATATCCTCATAGCTTTGTTTGAAAATAATGAATATACAGGTGAGTAATGGTTTCAAGTTTTCACTACCTGTGTGTTAAAGCTCTCCGCAGGGTGCTTTCTTCAAACTCCTCACCCAGTCTTTTACCAAAGGCATAGATTTCAGCATCATAATTCCTGGATAAAAAAAATACTTAGCATTTATAGCTCTGGGAACTAAAACATACATCCTAAAATGTAATGAGTTCTTTAATGAAGATATTGCTGGTGAACATTTTTATCCAAATTACCATCTGTACTCATCAGTTGGTCAGACTCACTGATCTGGTTGACACATGACATTGTATCCCAATTGCATAGATTGATGCTCATGCTGTTGATTCACTGGATTGTCTAGTCCAAACTGGATAATTTACACACTGCCACCATACAGCTGGAATATTGCTATGTGTGGCATTAAACAACAAACAATCATACAAAACCCATCTGTACTAACCAGTTGATCCACTCTGATCGATGTCTCTCCACTTCCGGCCCTGCTGCAAGTCTTTGGTTGTACCATAGGTTGTCAACCTTTGGAACCCAACGCTTGTAGCCTTTATCTGGCACTACAACATCAAGTTCAACACTAAAACATTTGCTTCAATACATTTGGTTTGTACCATGGGTTGTCAACGCTTTGGAACTAGCGGCTTGTAGCCTTTATCTGGCACTACAGCATCAGAGTTCAACACAGGAAACATTTGGTTGTACCGCAGGTTGTCAACCTTTGGAACCAATGCTTGTAGCGCTTTATCTGGCACTTCTGGCATCAAGTTCAACACTAAAACATTTGGTTGTACCGCCAGGTTGTCAACCTTTGGAACCCAACGCTTGTAGCCTTTATCTGGCACTACAACATCAAGTTCAACACTAAAACATTTGGTTGTACCATAGGTTGTCAACCTTTGGAACCCAACGCTTGTAGCCTTTATCTGGCACTACAACATCAAGTTCAACACTAAAACATTTGGTTGTACCATAGGTTGTCAACCTTTGGAACCCAACGGCTTTAGCAGCCTTTGTCACAGCACTACAACATCAAGTTCAACACCTAAAACATTTGGCGGACATGCCATAGGTTGTCAACCTTGGAACCCAACGCTTGTAGCCTTTATCTGGCACTACAACATCAAGTTCAACACTAAAACATTTGGTTGTACCATAGGTTGTCAACCTTTGGAACCCAACGCTTGTAGCCTTTATCTGGCACTACAACATCAAGTTCAACACTAAAACATTTGGTTGTACCATAGGTTGTCAACCTTTGGAACCCAACGCTTGTAGCCTTTATCTGGCACTACAACATCAAGTTCAACACTAAAACATTTGGTTGTACCATAGGTTCAGTAACCTTTGGAACCAGCAGCATGTAGCCTTTATCTGGCACTACAGCATCCAAGTTCAACACTAAAACATTTGGATTTATTACCCATGGGTTTGTCAACCTTTGGAACCGCGCTTGTAGCCTTATCTGGCACTACGCTTTATCAAGTTCAACACCTGAAAAACATTTTGGTTTGTAGGTTGTCAACCTTTACAGGAACCCGCGCTTATGGCCTTTATCTGGCACTACAACATAAGGATTCAACACTAAAACATTTGGTTTGTACCATAGGTTGTCAACGCTGGAACTGGCAGCTTGTAGCCTTTATCTGGCACTACTGGCATCAAGTTCAACACTAAAACATTGGTTTCGCTGCCATGGGTTATCAACCTTTCCGTTGCCCAGCTTATGGCGCATCTGGCTTTTACAACATCAAGTTCAACGCAAAGAACGTTTGGTTTGTGCGATTTAATCAGCCTTTGGAACCAGCAGCTTAGCCTTTATCTGGCACTACGGCGTAGGATCAACCTTACTAAAACGTTTAGGGTTTGTGCCATGGGTTTGTCAACCTTTGGAACCAGCGCTTACGTAGCCTTTAATCTTGGCGCTACTGGCATCGAGTTCAACGCACTAAAACGTTTGGTTATTGCCATAGGTTGTCAACCTTTGGAACCAGCGGCAGCAGCCTTTATCTGGCGCACTACGGCATCGGGTTCAATACTAAAACATTTGGTTGTACCATAAGGTTGTCAACCTTTGGAACCCAAGCTTATGGCCTATCTGCTTTTTCTATCAGGTTCAACCTAAAACGATTTGGTTGTACCATAAGGTTTGTCAACTGGAATAGCGGCTTGTGGCCTTTATCTGGCACTTCTGGCATCAAGTTCAACCACTAAAACATTTGGTTTGTGCCATGGGTTGTCGGCGGAACCAGCGGCCTTTATCTTGACCTGACATCCAGGTTCAACGCCTAAAGAGCATTTGGTTTGACATGGGTTCGTCCCGGCAGCACGGATTAGCGGCTTGTAGCCTTTATCACCGGCGCTTTCACGGCATCAAGGTTCAGCACTAAAACGTTTGGTTGTGCCAGCGGGGTTGTCAGCCTTTGGAACTGGCGGCAGCGGCCTTTATCTGGCACTGCTGGCATGAGTTCAACGCACTGAAACGTTTGGTTGTGCCATGGGTTTGATGACGGCTGGGACCCAGCGTAGCAGGCTTTAATCTGGCGCTTTCTGGCATCAGGTTCAACGCCGAGCGATTTGGTTTGCCATAGGTTGTCAGCCTTTGGGACTAGCGGCTTGTGGCCTTTATCTGGCACTTTCTGACATCCAGAGTTCAACGCTAAAACGTTTGGTTTGTGCCATAGGTTTGTCAGCGGCACAGGACCCAGGCGCTGGCGCTTTATCTGGCACTTTCTGGCAATGGAGTTCAACGCTAAAACGTTTGGTTTGTGCCACCAGGTTTGTCAGCAGCACGGACTTGGCGGCTTGTAGCCTTTTATCTGGCACTGCGGCAATGAGAGTTCGCGCAAAACGTTTGGTTTGTGCCATGGAGTTGTCGGCAGCACGGAACCCAGCGTTGTAACTTTATCTGGCACTACAGCATCAAGTTCAGCACTGAGCGTTTGGTTGTGCCATGTGGGTTTATCAGCCTTTGGAACCCAGCGGCTTGTGGCTGTTTATCTGGCGCCACAACATCAAGTTCAACACTTCGGCATTTGGTTGTACCATAGGTTGTCAACCTTTGGAGACAAACATGGCACTATCTGGCGCAACCATCGGGGTTCAACACTAAAACATTTGGTTGTACCATAGGTTAATCAACCCCCAGAACCAGCAGCAGCAGCCTTTATCCACAGCACTACAACATCAAGTTCAACACACCGAAGCGTTTGGATTTATTACCATAGGTTCATCAACCTTTGGAACCAAACCTTTATCTGCTTTTCAACATCAAGTTCAACACAAAACATTTGGTTTGTACCATGAGTTTATCAACCTTTGGAACCCAGCAGCTTATAGCCTTTATCTGGCACTACAACATCAAGTTCAACACCTAAACATTTGGTTATACCAACAGGTTGATAACCGCTGGAACTAGCGCTTGTAGCCTTTATCTGGCACTACAACATATCAGTTCAACACTAAAACATTTAGTTTGTACCATAGGTTATCAATAACTGGAACCGCAGCTATAGCCTTATCTGGCTTTCACAACATCAGGTTCAACACTAAAACATTTGGTTTGTACCATAGGTTGGTCAACCTTTGGAACAGCGTAGCGCTATCAGCACCACAACGTAAAGTTCAACACTAAAACGATTTTGGGTTGTACCATAGGTTATCCAGCAACGCTGGAACTAGCGGCAGCCTTTGTCGGCCTCACAACATCAAGTTCAACACTAAAACCTTATTAAGTTTGTACCGCCGAGTTTAATCAAGAAACCTTACAAGAGACAACGTAGCCTTTATCTGGCACTACAACATCAAGTTCAACACTGAAACATTTGGTTGTACCATAGGTTGTCAGCCTTTGGAATAGCTTAGCCAGCTATCGCTTTTCACAACATCAAGTTCAACACTAAAACATTTGGTTGTACCATGGGTTGTCAACCTTTGGAACCCAGCGGCTTGTAGCCAACACATCTGGCACTACAACATCAGAGTTCAACACCAAAACATTTGGATTGTACCATAGGTTGTCAACCTTTGGAACGCTGGCATAGCGCTTTATCTGGTACTACAACATCAAGTTCAACACCAAAACATTTGGTTTACGTACCATGGAGTTGTCAACCTTTGGAACTTAGCGGCTTGTAGCCTTTATCTGGCACTACAACATCAGAGAGTTCAACACCAAAACATTTGGTTGTACCATAGGTTGTCGGCAGCGCTGGAACTAGCGGCTTGTGGCCTTTATCTGGCACTTTCTGGCAATCAGGTTCAGCGCAAAACGTTTGGTTTGTGCCATGGGTTGTCAACCTTTGGAATAGCGGCTTGTAGCCTTTATCTGGCGCTACGGCATCAGGTTCAGCACCAAGGCTTGTTTGGTTTACCATGGGTTGTCAACCTTTGGAACCCAGCGGCTTGTGGCTTTATCTGGCACTGGCGTAAGTTCAGCTTACTTCAAAACGTTGGTTGTACCATGGGTTGTCAGCCTTTGGAACTGGCGGCTTGTAGCCTTTATCACGACTTTACAACATCAAGTTCAACACCAAAACGTTTGGTTGTGCCATGGAGTTGTCGGCTTTGGAACTAGCGGCTTGTAGCCTTTATCTGGCACTGCAACATCAGGTTTCAACACTTCACAAAACATTTGGTTGTACCATAGGTTGTCAACGCTGGAACCCGGCATGGCCTTTATCTGGCTGCAACATCAGCAACGCAAAACGTTTGGTTGTACCATGAGTTGTGTAACCGCTGGAATAGCGGCTTGTAGCCAGCATCTGGCTTTTCTGGCATCAAGTTCAACACCGGAAACGTTTAAGTTTGGCGCATGGGTTGTCAGCAGCGCAGATTGGCGTACGGCAGCACATCTGGCGCTACAACATCCAGAGTTCAACGCCAAAACGTTTGGTTGTACCATGGGTTATCGGCAACTGGAACCCAGCGGCTTGTAGCCTTTATCTGGCTTTTCTGACATCAAGTTCAACACCAAAGAGCATTTGAGACTTTACGTACCATAGTTTACATCAACCTTTGGAACTTAGCAGCTTATACAGCGCTTTATCTGGCACTACAACATCAAGTTCAACACTAAAACATTTGGTTGTACCATAGGTTGTCAACCTTTGGAACCCAACGCTTGTAGCCTTTATCTGGCACTACAACATCAAGTTCAACACTAAAACATTTGGTTGTACCATAGGTTGTCAACCTTTGGAACCCAACGCTTGTAGCCTTTATCTGGCACTACAACATCAAGTTCAACACCAGCTTGTTTGGTTGTACCATGGAGTTGTCAACCTTTGGAACTTCGCAGCTTGTAACCTTTATCTGGCACTACAACATCAAGTTCAACACCAAAACATTTGTGTTTGTACCATGGGATTTATCAACCTTTGAGACAGCAGCTTGTAGCCTTTATCTGGCACTACAACATCAAGTTCAACACTAAAACATTTGGTTGTACCATAGGTTGTCAACCTTTGGAACCCAACGCTTGTAGCCTTTATCTGGCACTACAACATCAAGTTCAACACTAAAACATTTGGTTGTACCATAGGTTGTCAACCTTTGGAACCCAGCGGCTTGTAATACTTTATCTGGCACTACAACATCAAGTTCAACGCAAAACATTTGGTTACAGGCTGCCATGGGATTGTCAACCTTTGGACAACCCAGCGGCTTGTAGCCTTTATCTGGCACTACAACATCAAGTTCAACACCAAAACATTTGGTTGTACCATAGGTTGTCAACCTTTGGAACCTAACGGCTTGTAGCCTTTATCTGGCACTACAACATCAAGTTCAACACTAAAACATTTGGTTGTACCATAGGTTGTCAACCTTTGGAACCCAACGCTTGTAGCCTTTATCTGGCACTACAACATCAAGTTCAACACCAAAACATTTGGTTGTACCATAGGTTGTCAACCTTTGGAACCCAACGCTTGTAGCCTTTATCTGGCACTACAACATCAAGTTCAACACCAAAACATTTGCTTCAATACTTCTTATGTTATTCGCTGAATCACTGTTTCCTGTATATTTACACGCCTGCAAAAATGTAATCAGGGTAATAGGCAGTAAATGTTAAGAAACACACACCAGTCATGCTTTAAGTCAGATCAGAAATTTGCTAGCATCATGTTGCAAAGAAACAATAGCCAGGATCACTCATACAAAGGTTTAGCTAGATGAGCCTTGCAATTTCAAATATTATTGGATTTCAGTCAGTGTCATTGGGAGGATTGAATTAAGCTTTGAGCTCTTAGGGTTGATTACCCGCAGGTCTATCCGTAACCCTTTGGATCCCTTTCCAATCACTGATTTATTTCTGACAGTAACAAGTACAACTTGTGAATCCTGGTTTTACTTTTAAAAATGCCTTCCTTTGTAAAAATAAAGGCCTACCTTTAGAATACGGCACCACAAACTTTAAAAATACGTCATAATACCCTTTTACGTAATGTAATGTGATTTTGTTCGAAAGCACGTTCTCGAAACAATGCCCTATGACGCCTGCATGGCAACACAGTTGTCTAGCTCTGCGAGTGCGTATAAGCTCCGCTCACTGGTGTTTCATCTCTATCAGCTATGTCATTGCATAAGCCCAAGGATGTTGAGAGTTTCCAGTAGTTTGTATACTGGTGGATGCGCAATTTTTTTCAAGCACCAGTTTGAAATATTTTTAGTTTTTTACTAATATGCTCATATTTATTTGTATTACGGGGTGCCGAGGTGTTATGTTTTGTGTATTATTGTATTTTTTAAATTTAGCGAGAATGCGTTAGACCGGTCTATATTATATATATTTGATTATTCGCAATTTTGGTCAATGTAATTATTTAAATTATATAAATATATTTTATATTTCGGTTTCTAAGTAACTATTAAGTATAAATGATTTACCAATGTGAACTGACATATCGTAACTTTAATAAATCCCTGTCGATGCGAGTTTTGGAGTTGTGTTCTTGCATCTACATCTACTATATTGGATTATATCCCTAACCCTAAACCCTAACCCCTTGAAATAATCCTAATAAATAGAATGCATTGACCGAACCGGCACAAACATGATTGACGTGTCCAGTGTAATGCATTATTACCGCTTCGAAAAATAAAATACTCATAAAAAACTTTTCTATGTAATGGTGCAAATTACTGAATGAAAAAAATATATATGTTTTCGGTAGTCGTTGACAAGTCATTTGCTAATTATCGTTGACAAGACTCCATCCATCGATGAGGTTTAAGAAACTAAAAGAAACAAAATGATTCTTTTAGCTAATACATTAATTACAGCATTTAAATATAACTTTTCTGAATTTTCAAATATAGGATTTTATGATTATCAAATATAGCTATTCAAAATTGTTAGGTAAAACGTTTGAAGATTGTCAGACAATGCATTTCAGTAACGTGCTTCAATAACAGCTTTCTTTCAAATTACACAATAATAATGGTCAAAATATTCCAAATGATAACTCCAACAACATATACTATTCAAATGTCATATAAAGTTACACAATGTATGATTAAAAGTAGTCACATTTGTATTGCCATACAGAGAGGTTTGCAGACAGCCAAGTGACCATGTGGATAGCACAGTGAATCAGCCTTTGCATGAAGATTTTGTGCAAGGGTCAGGTCATGTGACCATCAATAATGAAAGTGAGGCTATATATTTACTGATTAAATTTACAAAAGTTTTTGCCATTACACTGGATTTAAACCCTAGCACTTTGGATCACAAGTCTAATGTGTTAACCACTAGGCCACCGTACAAGACACTCATACATGCCTGGTTTAACAATGCTGAACATTACTGAATATAACATAACTTGTATTTAGCATTAACAGTAGGTACATGTCCGGTGTCATACGTGAGTACCATTTGTTGTTTTTCTCTTTGCATTTTAATAAAAAAAAATCACACAAAAACGGGAAACCAAAAACGTCAAAAGTATACTATGAAATGGTTTGATGTAGAATTTTTGGGCTAATGGAAATTGGCCTGGAATTTGCACTCAAGCCTCTTTCATACGCAACATTGGTTCAGTAATGATTCGAAGGCTAACTCGGCCTCGTGCCGTCACTACACATGCTCATGTCTCCCTCGTTTTGTAGTGCGATCCACATTATCCTTACAGTGTTCCCTACATCACTTTTCTGTCACAAAATCACTGATTTATATAAAAGCGTGTCATTCATTCATGCACCGTGAAATCTACGTCTGACGTCAACAACCCTTTTCAGTTTGAGGCATATTGGCTCATTCCACGTCACACCGTTTCTTGTAGATTACGGAATGGGACGAGTGTGCCAAATGGCATCAGGTCCATTCGGCAATTGTCCGTAGATTAAAATCACGAGACACCAAGTCTACCCGTAATTGTCCGTGACCAATTTGACTCTTTCCGTTCATTTTCGTGACGTCACAGGAATGACTCAATAAATTTGCACATTGTGCAAAAGTGTGGACGTAGCTCAGTCGGTTAGCTGTAAGCTAACAATCCGAAGGTCGCGGGTTCGCGTCCGACGGGTTCTCACAAACTGGTTGCTTGTCTTAATGACATGTGACCTACGGCAGAGATCGTCCTCACGAGATATTGTGGTGCTGTATTCTAAAGCTGCTCCAAAATAAATTATTCGCCTGATGGGCATATTACGGTGTCTACCATTCATTGTTTTCACATTCATTTCCGACTCGCTGTGCGCATGAGTAGAGCCAGTAAAAATATCCACTGGTCAACTTCCGCTTTGGTCATATTACTGATAATGTAAACACACTCGAAACAAAAGCTGTCTGACGATTATTTACGTGTGACAACTGTTCATAGTTGAGTACATCCATCCATTTGCCTATGCTTTTCAATAATTGATGTCCTGTTTTGGTGGCAATTGCATCAGATGTGTTTTTTTAGTTGTGATAAGGGGATGTGTAGGAAGGACAGTGGACGGGTGGTGGTGAGATGTGTTTATAAAAGAGCTTGTTAACAAACATTAAGTTATTTATTTAACTAATCCCGGTCCCTTCCATTCATAAATGAATTGAGATCAGTTAAATTCGACATAAAACCATATATTTGTTTTGATGTTTGCTTTCTTTAGAGTGTGTTTATACTATCGGTAAAGCATACGACCAAACCGAAAGTTGTCCATGGATATTTGTACACGCTCTGCACATGCGCACTGTGAGTCGACAATTAATGTGAAACCAACGAATTAAGTCACCAGAGAGCACCAATAACACTGTTACAGTGGACTTTGGGAAAAGTAGCCGAGACTAGGGTAATTGTCACCAGTGACTCTGTTAAAACCTCTTGTTATCATTAAATAAACAGTTGTATGGTTGACACCTTGAGATGTTTGAGATTAGAACTACTGCAACTACTTACTGTTTTCTAAAAGTTTGGCCCTTTTGACTTAAATCTATGGCCATTTTGACTTTCCCTTGGCCCTTTTGACTTTTTCAAGTTTGGCCCTTTTGTCCTTTGACCCTTTTGACCTGTTCCCGAGAGTCGCGGTAGGGTCCTACAGTCAGGACATGACCCTGCATCGCGGCTTTCGGCTTTGAGAAACGAAAAGTCTTTCTGCGGTTTTCTGTGTCTAATTCCGTTTATCACAGGGTAGACTTCTGTATATATGCATTTACTCGGGGCTTTAAAATGCAGTGCTCACCAACAACACTTGGATTTGTCTTAAACAACGTTCTGTACAACTTTCTCTGAAAACATGTTTGGCACACCCGTCGCATGGACGCGGCCATATTGAAACTGTCTCGGTATGACAAATATCTGTAGTTTCGTAATTAATGCATAGGTTACCTAATATAGATATTATAAATAATGTAACCGTAACATTGTCATATAAATATAATATCATTTCAGGTTGCGTTTTTTAGACCGGACAGAATGCGAAACTACCATTAACAGTTTATCTTTAACTTCCGGTTAAATTAAAGATGTTTTTCACAAGGTGTTTGCAGTATTATAAACACCGAATACGGGTACCTGGATTACTATATCAAGGGTAATGAATACAATTGTAAAGAAAATCACGTCGGTCATCTTGATATCACGACTGTAAAAATGTATTGTTTATCTCTGTTAGTAAAGACAGATTTTGAGGGAGAAGTTTCTGTAACAACATTGCAGTACGTCGGATATGCAGCTTACTAAGGAATATGTGTCTGAGATTGGTTCTCGCTTCACAGATTTTGCATGCCCATGCGATCCCAAGGGTCAGTTGTCTCGGGGTTAGAGTAGGTAATCTCATAATTATAAACAGTATCATTATCTAGTGGATCACCATTCCAACCACAGGCCCTCGTGTCCTGGCGAAGAATAACGATTAAAATAATAATTTTTTGAGACTCGAAATGCTACACAGTACAGTACATTATGACAAGGCCGGACACTTCGGTATACCACACCCGCTTGCTTTGCCGATCGCTAAGCTACCTTCGATGTAATCAATTAAAACTTAATGTGAACATAATCATGGATGATTGGCCTATCGAGCACCACCCATGAAACCTACAAATTCTTTATTGTTATTTCAGTAAGTCGATTGAAGCCCGATTTTAACTCTTAAAGGTCACATGCAACGTAAAACACAACTTTGCAGATCCTGATACCTTTCGGTATGGACTTACAGATACTAATCATCAAAAATGCAAATTCAACTTATAAAGTTGAAAAATCGCGATGAAAATACCCCGGCAAATCGGAGTTCAAACAATTCACTAAATTCACCCCAGCGCTTGGGATGAAAAGTGGTTTCAACAGCTGCTCAGCGCTTATAGCACATGCACAGTGAAATAGGTTCGCTCAGCTTGGAAGCGGGATGTCCGGATCATAAGGTCGTGAGTAGGAGTAGTCTAATCAAAACAAATAGTAAATAATCTACTCATTACATAAAAGAACCTTGTTAGGATCTAGATCTACTCAGCTATGTGTCAGCCAGTCAGGCGTTCGACATTTCAAGAGGGAAAACCCTCGCTGGCGGTGAATACTCGGGAAGGCTTTGATGTGAGCTATTGTTCTAATGTTTTGTTGATATTTCACAGGCGCGAGATTTTTATATGTAATTATTACCAATTAAACTGTTTATATAATTTCATTTGTCTATTTCATCACATGTTCTTCTTACCGAGTCACTTTCTCAGTTCGATAATTAAAAGCAATGTCATTATTTACCGTTGACAGAATTTCTAACTGTGATATAGATATGTCGTTGTCACAGGCAAAACTCAATGTTTGTTTTATTGACACCTATGTGTCTGCCTGCCTGTCTGCTAATGACAATATTCAATACACAACTTCCATCACTGACCACATGCAATTTGAACTTAACACCTATCAGGCTATACACCATAAACAAAACACATTGATTTATGGCCAGTGTTCGGTCTCTGTCACATTATGTAATTACACAGACAGGCAGGTGTGATACTTGTACGGTCTACTCCCATTTGTGAGGACTCCCAGTTGTGAGACAGCGGAGTAGGTAATTAGCAAAGAAAACACACCTTACTCCCCTATCTGATAGAATGGATTAACCCCAGCTAATTATGGATTAGCTATTTAACTAAATCTTGTGGAGGTAACTTAATGAAACTCTAAAAGATAAAGTAATTAACCTACTCAGGTAAATGGCTTTAAAAAGATAAAGTAATTAACCTACTCAGGTAAATGGCTTTAAAAAATAAACACTTTGTGTAGGTAACTTCGTGATCATTTGAAAGAGAAATTAATTTACCTACTCAGATTTACATGTTTGAAAAATCTAGCAATAGCTGTTGCAACTATAATTAGTCCAAATGTATTTATTAACCTTTGACTGCTCTTTCCGATCACCATTATGGCAGGCCTTCAACAAGTAGAATATATCGCCAGTTCACGATAATCTTTTTCAGTATCTATTGAAAACAATAAATGCTCTTCAACGAACAATGTCTTCTGTGTTAATTAACTCATTAATGAACTATGCCTCCTGCGGGTACTCTTCAGCAACAGGGCTGTTCCCACTTTCATCGTAGGGATGGGGAAGCACCACCTGTGTGCACTGAACCATTAATTAATGTGTCTCACAACTGGGAGTTCTCACAAATGGGAGGACACCACTTGTACACATGACATGTTATGATGTCTGTTGATTGCAAAATGTTATACACAAAAAATGAGCATGTATTTTACAAAACTTGTTTTGGGAATTGGTTGAAATCTCACAATTGATGATTGCTTTAATACCAACGAACAATCATTGAAAAAAATTGGTTAGCATAACTTTTCAGATTTTCCTATCCAGGTTGTTATTGCAGATAGGTATAAGATGATGCAGCTTGCTACTTTTAAGTGCTGACTAATATATCAGGAACATAAACTTCCTGGAGTCTTAGAGAAATATTCAGTCATGACTTTTCAGATAGTGAAGTGAATTAAAGACGTTTTCAGGCCCTGACACCTTCTAAGATACGTTCCATTATCAAGTATTTCAAAGACTAAAACAGTAGTTCCAAAATCGTTTATGTTCGATTATGAGAAAATGTGATTGATTGCTTGGTCGTTTGGTCACTGCGACCAATCTTTGATTATTTCAATTAATCGGAACACCACTATACAAAACCCATCATCTCTATATATACACACACACAATGAGCCGTGAGGGCATTGGAAAATGAACCAGCTGTTACACTTGAGTGCACACCCACGCGCTCTGACTGGGTTCGGTATCCTGGGTGCTTTGTTTCGAGGGATGTAAACCCAAGTACAAAATATTGCACTTTTAATTTGCGAATGTACGCTTATAATTTTGTTTATATGTTTTTTCATAATCAGCAATGTATATTATGTGTCATGATATGTGTGATAAGTGATAATTGTGTTTCAATTATGTTTGATTTTTTGGTTGCATGTGACCTTTAACTAAACGATCTTGACACAAATGGATGACGATATGTCCGCACAAACAGGGATGTGGTCGAAGCAAGCCCTCTGATTGGTCAACGCTTGCAAATCTGCAGTTGTTTATATTCGCGGGATTTTTTTCTTTCATCAACTGCCTAATGTAAGAATATTTTCGAGCAATGGCTTCTCAAAAGAAAGCATCAGTTGTAAATGTCTCCTAAACAAGGATCAACCAACCAGAGGGCTTGCTTTGACCACACACCTGTTTTGTGCGGACACATTGTCATCCATTTGTGTCAAGATCGTTTAGTTGGGGGTCAAAATCGGGTTTCAATCGACTTGCAGAAATAACAATAAAGAATTGGTAGGTGTCATGAGTGGTGCTCGATAGGCCAATCATCCATGATTATGTCTACATAAGTTTTAATCGATTGCATGCGAAGGTAGCGTAGCGATCGTCAAAGCAGGCGGGTAGGGTACACTGAAGTGTCCGGCCTTGTCATAATGTACTGTACAGTGAAGAATTTCGAGTCGGGGGTCATCTCAAATGTTATATGTTTTTTTAACATCTTTAATCCTCGCAAAGACACGAGGGCCTGTGATTCCAACCTTATTAGATCCTTGGGGTTGTGTAGGGTACATGACAATTCATACTAAAAACATTTTGGGCAGACTTGTACCAAATTGTTGGATAACCCTTACCACTCACATCCAATGGAAATACTTGTTACTTGTGATTTGTTGTCTTCTAAAGTGCATTAATGACCCAATGAAAAGAACTTAAGGACTACTTATAATTACTATGAATGTTATGTCCCAAAGCGAGTTGAATTCGACGTTCTGGTGATTTCGACAATTGCATTGCTCACGCTATATCGGGGGAGTATGTGCACGATCGGAGTACATAAGCAGTTTCATCGGTAGGGCGGGTGCCCAGTCGCTGTTGTGGGAAGTTTTATTGACAATGGAAATCGGAAAGTAAAGTTATATAAAAAGCAAACAAACATCAATATTATTTACCCGAGATCGTTAATACCACTTCAGATGCAAAATCAGTTGCCTACATAACAAAAAAATAGTATGCAAAATTTCAGTAAGATCAGTCGTCTGCTAGTGACAGGCAATATATAAATAGGAAGTCACGTGATCAAAACTCTCTCTCGCAGTGCGGAGCGAAAGGTATGGCTCATCGTCGAATACCCATAAAAAATACCCAGATCTGGAGAGCGGCAACAGTTTCGCCGATACGCTGTCACGAATGCTATTTTTGTAGGAAAGACTTGATATTTTTGCATGAAATAGATGACTATATCCTTTATCACTCAAGGTTAGTAAACTAAAAACTTTAAATGATATTAAGATAAAAAATATGTTTTTGTCCTACATCGTCAAAAACCCCTGTCACCGGGATAGTTAGTTGTCATGCCGTGACTGATTAACTAGAGTAAGATGAAATATACTACTCACACTTTGCTAAGGATCACAATAATTCACAACTTTACATAAACGTAGAAATTGTATCCATTTAAAATTGGACAAATAATAATATAGTAATATAGTAACCCCTCTTTAGGCAAACACTCAATTTAATCTAACCTTCTGCGATTGATACATGAGTAACCATAAAAAATGGTTTTCATGGCACCAATCAACCATTTTGCAAATCATGGAACGGGTCATTGACAAATAAACAACACCTGTCAATAGCAGGTATGGGATCCACAAGATAAAATGACGTACTGAAACCTGGGATCCATGCTTACAATAAGCTTAGATATTGAAACCAAATATAGTTTTCTGTTGAATCCATGATTTGATCCTGAGCAAAGTGTTAATAGTAAAACAGTCACTCCTGGATTCTGCGATTCCGCGGCTGCAGAATAAATTGAGGAAATTAGCTTTCGATGCAGAAAAACGTCTGGTCCACAGAAAACACATTTTCATGCAGAATACCTGCAGAATTTGTCATTTTTCTGTAGCGGAATTTACTTATTTTGAAAGCTGAATCAAGACTGGCTATCAACCGAAACAAGAAGTAGGGGGAAACATCAAAAGTATGATTGGTTCCAAAAAAAAACAAAAACTGAGACATTTGTTATAACAATATTTTCATTCAGCACCTTAGAATCATATGATTTGAATTTGACACTGCAAAATCGATCTTTTGAAGATTGAATTTGCATTATTTAGTGTTTTTTTTCAAGTTTTTAACTGCAGAATATATTGCAGAATTTACTCAAATTTGTTGCGGAATTCTTAAAAATTTCGTTGTGGAATCCAGGAGGGACTGGTATAATATGGTGGTCCTTAACCTATTTATGTAGCATATGTTTGGATGTGTGAGCCGTCATGTCCACTTGGATGTTGAAGGAAGAGTATTTAATCAGCATGTTCTGGTTGCTATGGTTACCCTGTTTTGTTATCCCCTGCCGCGCGTTTACCGCGAAGCGGGGGCTATAGTATTAGGCTCCATCAGTCCGTACATCCGTATGTATGAATTGGCATATCTTAAGAACCGTTGACTAGATTCTTTTTATATCTGGTACCTAGGTTCATCACAGCATAAGAAAGGTCCCAGTCAGGTTTGATCCCTTGACCTCCATTTCAAGGTCACAAGGGGACTTTAACGTTTTACCCTTGTCAGCGTGATATCTCAAGTACCATTTTCTTCATATTCGACACCGAGCTTTATCTAAGGAAGACGCAGGGCCCAGTCAATTTTGGTGACCTTCACGTAATTTTCAAGGTCACAGCGACACTTTAAAGATTTCAGCATGTTAACTTGCATGTTAAGATTGTCAGAGAGATATCTCAAGTACCATTAACTGGATTTTCTTCATATTCGACACCAAGCTTTATCTGAGGAAGGTGCAGGGCCCAGTCGATTTTGGTGACCTTCATGTAATTGTCAAGGTCACAGCGACACTTTGATGATTTCAGCATGTTAATTGCACGTTAAGATTGTCAGCAAGATACCTCAAGAACGGTTCACTGTATTTTCTTCATCGACATTCAAGACTTGTCCTTACCTTATTACTATTTTGGTATATTTCATACACCATGACATTCATGTCAAGGTCGGGTGGTGGGGTAGCCTAGTGGTTAAAGCGTTGGCTCGTCACGCCGAAGACCCGGGTTCGAATCCCCACATGGGTACATTGTGTGAAGCCCATTTCTGGTGTCCCCCGCCGTGATGTTGCTGGAATATTGCTAAAAGCGGCGTAAAACCAAACTCAGTCAGTCAGTCAGTCATGTCAAGGTCAAAGTAAGTCTTGAAAATATTTGTGTGTTTGAACAACTACAGAGCAAGATATCAAGAGAGGTTGACTGGTCATGTTTTTGTTGACGTTTAAATCATCATAAACTACAACCTTAACTTTCATTAATTCAATTAATGAAATTTTTAAGTTTGATTTGATAATTTGCGGCAGGGGATTATGTCACCTTAGTGACAATGCTTGTTTTCCCTGTAGGAAGAACAAGGTAATCCCACGCATCTCTGTTGACGCCAAACGAAGGGCTCTGTGTCGCCTCCTGGTGGAACAAGACAACCTGGACATTCTGAAGAACCCATACCTGACAATGGTAGGTAGAAATATACATCAGCCTAGCATGCATAGTGCACACTTATGGAAATTGACTTGAAACGCAAAAAAGCCCACTGGGCAAGTGACATTTTTGTCTGCTTACATTCTAAGAAGCATCTTATCCTTATAAAATTAACAGACTTTTACATTTAAATCTTTAAAGACTGTAAACGTTGTGCCAAATATCTATCGCAGCAAAAATCTGATTTTACGGCATGTGTCAAAATACTTGCATGGTCAGCTGGCTAGTAGAGTTATCACTGTATTAGTTCCATGGTAATGTCTGCTGTCCTGAGGCTTGTATCAGTTTCTAGGTCAGCCTCATCAACAATAACCTTGGCTTGGATGAGGTTGGAAATATTCATTTTGAGAAAATGCCTCGTGGCTTTTAACTCAAGTTTGCTGATGTTTCGTCCATGACGTATGAATATTCATCACCAGTGTCTATAATAAGATCCACTATATCTGGGATGGCAAATTTCCGCTGATTTTATTTAAAATTGATCATTCTCAACTCCCTATTCGATGACACAATATTAAGTTTTCAACTGAAAATTGATTTTCCTGTTGCCATCCCTGCTATACGTTGTTATGAGTGATGATGAAATGTAAACCCAGTGTGTATTCTGGGTGGGAAAAGGTCCCCAGCATGTAAGCTGGTAGTAGCAGGCAACTTAATGGATTAGGTGTCTGAACTCGGTGATGTGCACCCTATCAATCACTGGATTGTCTGGTTTAATCTTGATTATTTACAGGTCACATCATTGATTGTATATTGCTGAATGTGGTGTTCAGAAAAACATGCTACACAAAGTATTAAAGATGAAGAGAATATTACTATAGTCCGTTTGGCTCAAAAGCGGACCGATGAATTAGAATCTAACTCGAAAACTAATAAACATATAATACTCAATGAAACATTGATCATAATCAAAACCTCAGACCAACTCTGTGAGGTTTTTGCAGAAATTATGTCCTAAAATTAAAAAAGTTATTTAACAAACTATCATTAAACTATTGACACAGTTCACTATTTGTTACGAGGGAGGAGTGCAGAGAAAGGGACAGCCAGGTGTGCGAGAAAGGATGGAGACGGCACAGCACAGGTTAATGAATCAATAACTTTGTCGGCACTTGTGCACATGCTTCTCTCAACACCTGGCTGTCCCTTTCTCTGCACTTCTCCCTCGTAACAAATAGTGAACTGTGTCAAAATATTAATGATAATTTTTAAACAACATTTTTAATTTTTAGGACATTCATTCTACAAAGAAATCACAGAGTTGGTCTGATGTTTGATTATGATCAGTGTTTCATTGAGTATTTTATATTTATTAGTTTTCGAGTAAGATTGCAATTCATCGGTCCGCTTTTGAGCCAAACGGACTATAGTGCTTCTAGAAGGTGGCTTGTCTCTGTATGAAGACTTTGTTCAACCCATTTTCAATTTGTTCAAGCATGACATTTTTCTTGTTACAGGATGAAGAACATGGCCATACCAAAGAACGAAGTGCTGTAAAACTGGAGAGAATAAGAGCAGCAAAAAAGATGAAAATGATTCCACATAGACATTTAGAAGTTGAGCTCAATCACTTAAACTGTTCCAAGAAATGGGAATAAATGTAGCTCCGTGTGAATGTGTGTGTAGTTCCGATTGGATGTTGCGTACTAGAATATGGTCATGTCAACGGGGGATTCTCAACCGGCAGTCGGCCATTGACTATGAAGTTTTTCAAAAAGTTGGGACATAACAGTCCAGGAGTTTAGAACAGAACAAGGTGAATTGGAAATAGATTCCTGGTAGTCTGCCAGGGCTGCAGACATGGTACCTGTTGGAACTAGGGTGATAAGAGAGGATACAGAGTGTTGAAACCAGAAGTAGTTGCCCCAAGGAATAGTGACATGTATGTAATGTTCATAGTTATTATGAAATAAAATATACTGTGATTCTTATCTGTTGTCTGCTCACTTCAAATATATATCAACAGAACTATTGTCAAGTCGTATATTTGCACAAATGATTTTTTGTTCGTTTAACACTGCACCAAGCAATATTCCAGTATTAAAGTTAAAATAATCGTGTCTGGGACAGACAAGTGATCAACAGCAATTGCATCAATCTATGCTATTGAGATACGATGACATGTCAACCAAGTCAGCAAGCCTGGCCACCCGATCCCGTTAATCAGCTCTTACGACAAGCTTGTTGCTGAAGACCAATTACAACCCAGATCTTCACAGGTATTGGGCAAATGCACTTGACTGTATATTCATATCAATTAATTTGAGTCTTGAGAGTTTCTGGGCTTTGGCCCAGCTCACACTAAAGAACAGTCACATGTGGCATCTCCTTTTACAAGTGACTTTGTCAGAAACACACCTTGTTCACCAGCAGTGTGTGGGTACCCGGTAGGATGAGAATTAATGTGACTCACAGAGCTTGGGGTTGTACATACTCCCCAGGGAGCTGAGAATGAACATCCAGTGCACACTGATTCGTGATCACAGATCAGGGTAATAATGTAGCACTTCAAGCATCTTTTAGTAAGTGAGTTTGACACTTAAATATGCACATTATTATGAAGTAAACACAGAACTCTGAGAACATGGAAACAGGATTTATTTCCATGGGCAGATACACACCTCACACTCAAGTCTATATACAAGTTAAGTTACATTCACCATCACCGTGCCAACAGCTTGAAAGAAGGTTTACCAGATAAGAATTGTTTTATCTTTAACATCTAAAACAATTGTAATAAAGTCTGTGTCTAGGTGATAACATTGTATCTCTCTTGATGCTTAATAATACCTTTTTGCAACCTTGATACAAATTTCCTGTTTGACCATACAAGAAACATAAAAAATCATAAACAACATGGTGCTCATTTAATCCATTGAAGAGATATTGGGTATTTCTCATTCTTGGCGCCTCATGTTAGCACTGGTGAAACACACACATAACACAGATACAAATCTCGGTTGGTCTAAGTTCATGGACATCAAGAAGTTTCATGTGTGTTCTTCCCACGTTCAGCCACATCATGTCACTGGTCCGTGTTCCACAGTACAAGTTCCGTGTATACACTATGTTGTTCACTATATAAACACGATATATCCTAATGTTTCTTTCTCAGTCTTGTGCTGCTTCATCTTCCTTGAAGTGAACGAGGACTGTTCCTCTGTTGACGGTTTGACCAGGCTGGAACGTTACCCGCTCCACCACCCCTGACCGTGGCGCCCGTATAACATACTGAAACAAACAAACGCCATGTACCAGGGAAATAAAGAAACATAGTCAAACAAACAACCATCATGAACCCCCCCAAAATATGAAAAGTAGTCAAACATCATGTGCCAAGAAAAACATCAAACATAGTCAAACAAACACCACATTCCAAGGGAAAAGTCATAGTCAAACATCACAATACCAAACAAACCTGCTGCCAAATACTATTGTCTGATACTAGTATTCAGTTATTCAGTTATAACCGGGTTTGAATCCCCACATGGGTATAATGTGTGAAGCCCATTTGATAATGTTGCTGGAAATTTGTCAACCATGGTTGATAATTATCATCCAGTTGTCTTATCAATCCTTCATTTGTGTGGAGATACTTGAGTATTCCAGTAAAACCTCAAAATAGATTTCCTGTGTTTTGAAGAACCCATCTGTACAGTGGCCTATAGGTTTATAGGTTTATTACTGGTGTTTGATATGTTGCTTGCTAATTCCATCACAAATCTGTAAATCACTGTAATACATTATCCTGGTAATATCACTGTAGGAGACCATACACTGCAGACAATTTTGTCGTTGACGCAGTCTCCAACTTACCTCCATTTTCATGGCAATCATGACAACGAGTGGGTCCCCCTTCTCCACTTGTGTGCCCTCGGCCACCATCACCCGCTCCACCACACCCGGCATTGGTGCCACAGCATCATCATCGGACGTTCCCCCTTCAGCAGACTGCAGGTATTTTGGCACAGGTAGACGCAGCTCATGACTGCCATCCTGGAAACAATTGCCAGACATAATCAAGTCCCTGTTCCACTAACTGGATGTAGCACAGCACTTCAACATACACCTATTGCAGTTACAACCTCATAATTGAGGGGCGAAGCAGTAGTCTTGTGGTTCAATTGTTCGCTTGTCATGCTGAAGGCCCAGGTTAGATTCCCTTCATCAGTACAATGTGTGAAGTCCATTTCTTGAGTCCCCTTACTGTGATATGGCTGGAATATTGTTAAAGCAGCAAAAAACCCAACTCATCTTGTCACCTCATAATTGATTTCTATACAGTGACTGATTTTGTGTGCAATGGGCCATGAACCATGATACATATTTGTTTGATTTTTGTATAATGCTACATTCAGCAGTATTCCAGCTATTTGACAGCAATTTAAATTACTGGTAGAGTCCAGACCAGACAATCCAGTGATTGATATCATCAGCATCATTCCCCACAACAGGAATTCAATGACATGCATGAACGAAGTCGGTGAGCCCAACCATGCAATCCCATTAGTCAGCATCAGTTGCTGAAGACCTAGTTCTAACCTGGCTCTTGATGGTCGAACTATATTAGGACCTACATAGCTTGATTCAAAGCTTCATGAAAAGCTGATGTGGAAAAATCCTAACAATATATAATATATTCCACACAAAAGAGGGATGTGAATACTATTAGAAACGGATGTAGACTGAAACCAGTGGGGGCATCCCAGCTCACCAGGGTGAAGATGTGGAGAGAGTTTCCCTGCATGATGACTGTGGACGATGTCTTGACTCCATCGATTGTACAAGTGAGAGAGAGTCGGTCTCCGTCCTCCGTCATCTCGGCCACCACCTCATGCTCCACGCCGTCCATCCGAACCACGAACCTACCCCCATCAGACTCCACTTCCACTGCCACCTCTGAAATACCACATCTCCAGTTTCTCCATATATTATTTAACAGTTAAGATACAATCTAATCCTTTGATACATATTATAGCTAAAACACATGGAATTATCTTGAATGAAATGGCCCTCCTAATATCACTAATTTGCAGGCCGCTGCAAATGATATTGGACTGCTCAACCTGAACGACGGGCCACTATCAGTTCTGTTGTCAAGTGACATCATAGTGGGTGCGTCGGTTCATTCGACTTTGGCTTTGGACTGGCAGATATTCTGGGGCAAATAAGTCAAAGCAACCCGAATTCCCGCTTTCAATAGTGGTAACATTGGCTTTCTTGCTGGTGCTAACCTTAACAATTGCACTATTAATGTTGTTGTTGGACCAAGACCGAACACTGACAACTGACGTTGTGTCTGACACAGTTTGACATGTTGCAGGCCATGGTTTTGTCAAAGGCAAAGGTCGAATATCGTCACGTTCTGTTGTGACGTCACTTGAATTGTTCGATGACGTAATTACATTCGGTCGGTCAACCCCGTCAGAAGTTTGTTTTGAGTAAACTTACAGTCAAATTTATACAAACCTGTAGAGGTTATGAATTCTTTGAAGAAAGTCCTCCTTGGGGTACTTATAAGCATTAAAATGTCCATTTTAAAAACCTACGACAGTTGTAACTATATTTCAATAAAAATATTTACAAAACGAAAAAACACGTTCTGCGTTATGAGACCACCCCTACAGGGCCCCCGCGCGGCCCCCTACCGGCAAGAGCAGATAACTCTAGCCGACAACCTCGCGACCTCACTTTTCATGCTGAACGGATCAGACAGAATGAGGGGAGGTGGGTGGCCAGCCGACCCAAGGAGGACTTTCTTCAAAGAATTCATAACCTCTACAGGTTTGTATAATTCTTTTCAGAAGAAGTCCTCCTTGGGGTACTTATAAGCATAAAACAGACTCCCAAAGATCAGAAAACCGAGTGGCATTCTGTCTGACACACTGGTCCTAACGCAGTAACTTACTACAGCCGTATGAAAATAGAAATCACACTTACCCAGTCACGTGTCCGCCAACGTCAATCAAGGCGGGGGGCCTGACTAAGGCGAGGACCCTGGGAGGTCAAAGCTTAGTGCCCATTGGTCAATCGGTATACACCCCCAAGATAAAACTCCACCTCCCAGCCTGATTGGTGGAAGTGAGTAAAAACTAGGGACTCGCCAAAACAAACTACTGTCCATAGCACACCGCTAGCCAAGCAGGGAAAAATGGAAAATATAAGCCAAAGGCACACTACCAAAAGAACGGAAATAAAAAACGCCACCACATACCTTCACCAGTGCAAAATAGGGGAGAATATACCCGACACCAGTATAAAACACTGAGTAAATCAGCGACAAGGCTCACTCGGCCTGAGGCGTGTTACTCTGTCCACTGTGGAGAATCGTCTGGCCAAACCGAGCACGCTCAATGTTTGTCCAGCTGATAATGGCGAATGAACGTACTCGGTCGGCTCCATATAGCCGCAGAGCAGATCTCCTCAATGGGCAGAGCAGCAGCATATGCTTTAGACGTGGCAACTGCTCGAACCGAATGAGCCTTTAAACCCTCTGGGGGAGTCATACCCTTGTGTATGTAACCCATACAAATCGCCGACACAATCCACCTCGATATGGTCTGTGTGGTAACTGGGTGACCTACTTTACCGCCCCCGTAACAGCAGAATAACTGCTTCTCTTTACGGATTGACATTATTCTCTTGACATACGTCTTGAGTGTCTTACGGACATCCAACACATGTACTCTGCTCTTCGCGCTACCAGACGAAGCAGGAAGCGTAAAGGCAGGCAAATCAATAGGAGCAGTGACATGAAACGCTTTATCGATTTTTGGGCGGTAGGAATCAGGTAAACGAATACTTACCCTATCCTTGTGAAAAACGGTAAGCTCCAGGTCTGAGGACATAGCATGAATGTCCCCAACCCGTCTACCTGAAGTAATGGCCACCAAAAATGACGCTTTCCAACTTAACAGTTGAAGCGACAACCCGACATATCGTGAGAAAAAGGACTAGATAGCCAATCTAAAGCGATGGACAGATCCCATGGCGGACTTGTCCATCGGACGACGGACGCGCCTCTGTCCACCTGCTAAGAAACGCTGAACCAGAGGGTGTTGTCCTTAAAGGGCACCCTCGGTAGGAATGTGGAAAGCTGAAATAGCTGTGGAGTAGCCTCGGATAGTAGACGCGGCTAGGCCGGCTTCTAACCGAGACTGTAAAAACTCCAAAACTTCGACTACAGTCGAAGAAAAGGGACCAAGTATCCCTCTGTTTCCACACCAGCGCGCATAACATGGCCATCTATCCTCATACTGTAAGTTAGTCGAATCCCTCCGCGAAGCCAGAATTGTGTCTGCAACTGGTGCAGGAATTCCGCTCACATGGAGGCCACTCCTGACAGTGGCCAAGCCACCCACTGGATCCATGGATCCGGGTGTGGCTGGCCTTCCTGGCATAGGAGGTCCGGTCGCATCGGTAATAGCACAGGAGGCTGTACGAGCGATCTGAGTATTACCGGGAACCAGCGTTGAGACGACCACAGAGGTGCAAGAAGCACAAGTAGTCGCGCTGGTTGGGTGGCGAGCTGTGATAGGACTCTGGGAATCAGAGGTATCGGTGGGAAAGCCCACAGAACCCTGTCCGTCCAATCTAGCTGGAAGGCATCGGGGCGATCGCCCCGGATCCGGGATCGTGGAGCAAAACACCTGGAGTCTGGTTCGTCACCCCAGAGGCAAACAGATCCACCTGGAACGACCCGAACAACTGGGAGATAACCCGAATATCTCCGGTCCAGTAACCACTCGTGAGGGCCAGGATAATGACGTGAGAGTGCATCTGCACGCACGTTGTCCTCCCGGGAGATACACAGGTAATACCCGTGTGTTGAACCGGGTCGCACCACAGCAGAAACTGCCACGCCTCCTGGAGGGTAGCGGAGACACCGTACGCCCTGCTTCAGGATATAGGACATCGCCGTTTGATTGTCCATTTCTAGGCGAACCACACGGTTCGAACCTGCTCCATGAAGCGTTGAATACCCGCCGGACAGCTCTCAATTCTAACACATTGATGTGCATGGTGCCGCTCCACGGACCAAAGTCCGGAAGCTGTGAGGTCCCCTAGGACCCCCCCCACCCTGTGAGGGAGGCGTCCGTCTGAATTGTGAGCGTAGGCACCGGGGTCTTCAGTGGGATACCCCTGGCTAGATTCCCGGTGTCGGTCCACCACCTCAGGTGAGGGAGAAGCCACTCTGGAGTTAGGAGAATTGTACCATTAACTCCCGAGTCGCGACCACAGCTGTGCTAACGCTTGCTGAACTGGCGCATCCTCAGGCGCACGCGCCAAACTCGCCCACCCTACCGCCATGCTGCCTAGCAACTGAAGCCATAATGCGAGCTGAGGCCCTGGGGACTGAAGGAATTGTAAAACAACCCTTTGGACTTTGGAAATGCGGTCTTGAGACAGAGACTAAGCCCTGCTGTGTCTCGAATCTCCCAAGAAAACCAGATCCTGGGATGGAACCAGCTTTCGGACTTCTTGAGGTTGATGACCCAACCCAACCTGGTGAGAATATCCATCACTGTCTGTGTGGAGTCCCGACTAAGTGAGTGGAAGAGCCTGAAGCCAGTTGTCCGAGGTACGGGTAACAAAAGTTGCCCTGTGCCCTGGCGACTTGAGCTGGCACTAACATTAGTTTTGTGAACACCCTTGGCCGTGGAGATGCCGAAGGGAGCACGCGAAACTGATAGCACCTCCCATCGAAGGAAAACCGGAGGTATTTCCTGAACTTCGGGGAATGCATTGGTACATGAAGGTACGTGTCCTTGAGGTCGATTGGCGTAAGCCAATCCCCTGCCTCCACAGATGAGATCACCGACTGCAGTGTCTCCATCTTGAAGGGCGGTACCTCTAGCAAACGGTTCAGACCCTTTAAATTGAGAATGGGTCTGAACCCTCCGTCCTTCTTGGTAACCAGGAAATAGGTTGAGTAAACCCCTTGATTTTCCTGGCCCGTCGGAACCACCTCGATGGCTGCCTTGTCCAGCAACGACTGGACCTCGGCACGGAGAATATCTGCCTTCTCCGGAGAGTTCGGCACTGGCGTGCAACGAATCCCGGAGAAAGGAGGAAAATGCTGCTGAGAGGAGGCAGCCTTGCCCCTACCTCTACCCCTGCCCTTGCCTCTAGGTGCCTGAAGTGGAGCCGTCCACTTCGGTGCTTCCTTTCCTGAAGAGGAAGGGTAAGCTGAGGCAAGGACGGAAGGCCGGGCGCGAGAAGTGAGGGGTTGCTCGATTAAGGGCTTTGAGTCCTTAAACTGGCTAACCGCCTCCGCAGCCTCCCGTTACAACTGTCAATGCCCCTGGGAACAGGGTTGAACCCATCCTGAATGGCAGAGACAGCAGCGCCTGCTGTGTAGCCGGTGAATATCTGGCCACAGACAGCCACAACCGACGGAGGCCCATAACTGCAGACATCATCTGGCTAGCGCACGACCGAATGGCGTCGCGTGCCAGATAATGAATACACCTCCGTGAAACTGCCTACCATGCGTGGGCGGCGGCAGCGTTGTCGTCCACCAGCTTCCTCTGCAGGGCGAGAGGTATGCTGAGTGGACGGAAACCTTAAGTTGTTGTACTGTGTTACGGTATTGTTCTTCAAAGGAACGATATACCGATTTCAACACCTGGTTGTTGGAAAGCGAGGAGGCGGCGCCGACCCTGGCGAAACTTGACGGCGTGGCTATGGCCAGATGACCCCCAGGCGACTGAGGCATAAATGCACTCATCTACCACCGGGGTCATAAAGAGCCCCTCTCCCATCAGGTAGCACCGGTTCAGCTCCGGAGATCGAGCGTGACCTGCCACCTGAGAGGAGAGGTTTATAACTCACTAATCAGTGAAGGTAAAATACATAAAGTGAACTCGGCGACCCGACACCAGAGCAAACGCCTCCCCAGGAGATGAAACTCCGGCGGGTCGAGGGGTCATCTGGCGGACACGACCACCTGCGGCAAATGGAAGCAATCGTTCCCTTACTTGCGCGGGAGACGGATAGCAGCGAAGGAACCTTCCCCTGGCCTCATGCCCCGTCCCTCATCCATGGCTTCCTCCTCCCGCTCCCCCGAGCGAACTCTCGGTATCAGAGTCACCTCGAAAGCAGTGCGGCTCCACGGACAAAGATAGAGAGCCATAAGAGCGGCGCCTGGCCCGACCGACCCTAGGCTCAAGGATGAGGCCAGGTGGCCGAGGACCAGGAAGAACCTGCCGAAACAGGATTCCCGTAGCATAGCGCCAAGGCCCGAGTCGAGCCCGGTAGCACCGGTATTTCTGGAAACCCCAGCTTGTAAGCTGGTGGCCAGCGATGCGAGACCCGTATCCACTGCGCTGAACCCGAGCCGAAGCTTTCGGGCCAGACACTGAAGCGCACCAGCAGAGGGGTCACCAGAGCCAAGGCTCCAAGGCAGGCGACCCGGGCCGCTAACTCGAGCGAAAGCGATCTCCTCCACGGAGACGGACGCCAGGTCGAGATCAGCGGCGGACCCGAAGTCATCTGTTGCTGCAAAATAGAAGTTAAATCAGTAAGCCACAGGGGTGCAGAATCTGATTGAGTGGAAGTGGAGGAGATAGGGGAAGAAGGTTTATCCACCGTCTTGGCCTGCTTACCCCCACCCCCGCTAGTAGAAGAAGAACTCTTCTTACTTTTAGCCGCTTTAGATGGTGGGTCCTGAGCCCATAAGTCTCCCCCTGCCTGAAGCAAATTTGTATAAACCAAAAAATCGGCGGACCGACGCTAAGTCGTCTTGGGTGAGAAAACCTTGCAACTCTCACAAGTTAGATCATCATGGTGATCAACGGCCAAACAACAGAGGCACACATCGTGAGTATCCTGTGGTGGCAACATGGCCACACATGCAACGCACGGGTGAAACTGTAACAAACAGAACCATTTTAATGGAAACTGATGCACAGTCTAAAATACACACATATATGCAACACAAAGTAAAACATAATACGCCATGCGGGCGATAAACCCTATGTGAAAAGCTAAGGCAGTTTTAACCCTTTAACATGTATCATGAACAAGAGGCGAAAACGCAAGCTTCCTGCGTAACATATACAGCGTAAAGAAAATATGAAAAAACTTACCCAACTCACCTTACATTGCTGAAAGTGAAAACGTTAGGCAAGCCTACAATAGTAATGTACAAGAAAATACCCTACCACCCTAGCGATGTAACTAAAAAAAGTTACAACCGTATGACAGAAGGAAGCCAAACCGACCGCCATCTTGCCTGCCACCTGGCTGGAAAATGGAGCCTGTCCGACTAAGTTACAACAATCATGAATGAAAAAATCAACCTACAATTCCATCTAGCGCCTAAATCTACCTACAATGTCAGGCCAACAGTTAATGATAACACTATATATACTACCAATGTTCCTTTACTTCAGTTGAGAAGCATTCATAGAAACAATGCTTCCACTCCATTTCAGGCACTAATCTGAAGATCTAGACATGGACACAGAAACCAAATAATGTAGGATATCTACTGGCAAACAAGGATAAGTTGGACCGGCGCAGAGAATGCGTTTACGAGAAGTAGGCGGTATACGGCAAAGAGCAAACCCAACTGGTTTGTGAAAGGTAGAGCAGATGTAGGCTAGTGCACGTGCATTGCATGACGATGAAATTGATTCCGCGCCTTGTTCATAAGACTCTCAAGTTGGTGCAGAAAGTCGCACTACACTTGATCGCGGTCAACCTGGGGCCCCTTCGCTCACAATGGCAACGCCAGTGGGCGGCACTCATAATGCAATACATGTCAATTGTCAGGTTTGTGCTCAACTTATCATTGTTTGCCAGTAAGACTGCAGTTTGTTTCCTCACCTTCGTCTCCATCGCACAGCAACAGTTGCCTCGATGCAGCTTGGTTCACACGAGCTCCACTGCACCACGAGAACGAGAACGGCGAGAAGGGATCTGTAAGGAACAGAACAAATCTGTGTGAACTAATGACCTTGGCCATTACAGTCTCTTCCATGGCAATGAACTGTAGGTTGGGATCAAACTGACATCAGTGGCATCAGAGTTGTCAGAAATCAGTTATGTACACCAATAGGTGACAAGACTTCTCTCTCTGTATTGTGGATTACATATTTTGCGCGGGAAAGGGCAAAGGGAGGTAACTCGTGGGTGAGTGTATTTATACGTCCGCTTCGGGAACTTCAAGGGATTCAAGTGTTCCACTACCATTCGAAGAGGTAAGGGAGATAAGCAAAAGATCAGGAGTCAGGATAAGTATAAAATATCAATTTTACTTAAAAAATTACATTAACATATCCAAGCAATGGCACTGCGAATGATACCAAGAATGATTGAGTGACACCACTGAGAGGTTGATAACGCTGCTCTCACCAATATTCAGGCTACATAGGGGCGGTGACCAGGTTTCGATTCCCCGCATGGGAACAAAGTGTGAAGCCCATTTCTGGTGACCCTGCCATGATATTGCTGGTATATTGCTAAAGTGGCATAAAACCATACTCACTATATCTTCAGCATCACATACAGATGCTCACACTAACACGCTGCCCTTGTGACCAGAACTGACAGGACTCACCCTGAGTAAGCTGACTACTTCTAACCGATCGACTCTGCTGAAGTGTAACCATAGCAACAGCCGCATGACACAGTGTTTGAGCTGAGAGGATGGACTCTTGGAACAGCTGGTCCTTGTGCTGGGGAATGAACTCGGTGTGAACGTTCCCTGCCTGGAACTCAGGATGTGCTGCCAGATCCAACAAGAACTTGATGTTTGTGTTCACGCCTACAATCTGAAACAACAAGAACTTGATGTTTGTGTTCACGCCTACAATCTGAAACAACAAGATATAGGAGGGAGGGATATTTTGCAATGTCTCATCATCTGTGTTAACATGACTGTAATAATTGACAATACTTACATGGTAGTCTTGCAACGCTGTCCTGGTGCGTCTGAGGGCTGACTGTCTGTCTGCTGCCCACACAACAAGCTTGGCAATCATAGGGTCATAATGGACGGACACTTCATCTCCTGGAGCAGAACAGAGGGCACAAAGTCACATCATGAAGTTTGTTTGTTCAAGGACCGCCTTCGGCAATATTCCAGTTACATGATGGATGCTGGTAAATATTAATGTCTGGACCAATGATTGATCCTGCGGTTGTATCCAACACCATTATGGTATGATGACAAGCAAGTCACAGAGTCTCACCATGTGTGACCAAAAGTCGCCTCTACAACAAGCATAAGCTGCCAGGGATGCAAAATTACATGGCTTCACCGCAGGGTGACCAAACAAGGCAGCCCAACAACCTGACTGGTCATTAGTGTTGGGAATGGGTTGAAATCTCACAATTGATGATTGTTTCATTACCAACGAAAAATCATCGAAAACAATTGGTCATTTTTCAGATTTTCCTATCCAGGTTGTTATTGCAGATATCATAACATGATGCAACTTGCTACTTTAAAGTGATGACTAATATATCATGAACATAAACCTCCCCGGAGTCTTCAAGAAGTATTCAGTCATGGCTTTTCAGTTAGTGAAGTGAGTTTTCTAAGAATTAAACACGTTTTCATTCCCTGAAAACTTCTAAGATATGTTCCATTGTCAAGTATTGCAAAGACTAAAACAGTAGTTCCAAAATCATTTATGTTCGATTATGAGAAAATGTGATCGATTGCTTGGTCAGTTGGTCACTGCGATCAATCTTCGATTACTGTAAACGTACTTATTTTCGCGTGGTGCAATTTTCGCGGAATTTACAGTTTAGACTACATCGCGCGGTCCATTATTCGCGCAATCAGTAATTGCCGGAACTGCCAGCTGTCTCTTTGGCCGCCACTAATAGCAGTGAAAACAAACAGAGTGGCTTAACCTGTCAGGCGGCGTTTATTGCATACTCACAGGAAATCCCTATCTGTGCGATATACTAGTACACAGTAATCCGTTTACTCCCGGAAGATTTTAAGATTCCCGTTGATTTCTGTCTTCAAACATGATGTGTTATGGTAACAACTCAGGGGCGAGCGTGGCTAGACTGAATGAATGACAGGTTTATTCGCGGTGTATAAATTTTCGCGCTAAAATGTTTTGCGCGAAAAGCGCGAAAATAAAACCTGCGCGAAATATAATCCATTTACAGTATTTCAATTAATCGGATCACCACTACTGGTCATGTGATCTGATGAGGCCAAAGACACATGTCTCTTGACTGTGATGCAGGGAACCAAAATATTCAAGAGCTGACTTCAGTAGCGCTGTCTAAATCTGTCAACAAGTGGCAGATGAGTGATGCTTTTTTTTGCAGTTTTTCAATTAATCTTGTGACACATTAGCTTCATCATGTACAGTAATTCAAATACAATCAAATAAACACATGCCTTCCACGGTTGAAGATACATGTTACTGGAATGTACAACTACACACAGTAACCAAGTAACCAAGGCCACTGCAGTCTCATCACCTACTGATTTCTACTAAACTGACTCTACAACCAACTGTAAGCAGTAACCAAGGTTACCCCATTCTCTTCCCACAGAGGTTACTCCTGTCATATCTTCCTACGTAACCTCTGTTCTAATACGGCCCTTTCATGGTGTGAGCGTTCAAGACTCGTGATTGGAGACAATCAGATTTAGTTGTGCAATCAGCGACGTTGTTTCAAAAGTGATCATTCGCAAAGGCCTCGGTAATTTCCATATGCTTCGAGAAAACTAAACTTTTTCCCCTGCGCGATGCGCAAACGTTTATTCTAGACAGAACTCAGTTATGTTATGGCGGGTCAGTGGCGTCTCCATCGCCCTCGTCGACAACAGACAAGCTAGCCATTAAACGTCTTGTGTGTAACATCAACACAAGTCCCCGGCAGATGGGGGATATTTGTGGCCTCACATTTGCTTGTGTTAGTCAAGTTGAATCTAAGTCGATGTAACAGGTGTTCTGATTGGATAGAAAGAAGGGAGATAATTCGTGTTGCGATCTTTTGCCGCTAGGGGATTTTACGAGAACCGGGAAATATGGCCGTATTAGAACAGAGGTTACGTAGGAAGATATGACAGGAGTAACCTCTGTGGGAAGAGAATGAGGTTACCCTGTCTGACGCCCGTCTCGATGCGGACTCCATCCCCGGCCTTGGGGGTGGTGATGTGCAGAAGGGGACCAGCTCCAGGCATGAAGCTGTTGTTAGGGTCTTCAGCATAGATCCTCGCCTCGAAGGCGTGACCAGTAAACTTGAGCTGCTCTTGTGCCACAGGCAGTTTCTCTCCACTAGCAACCTGTTGGCAAGATATTTATTGACGGTACTGTCAAACATTTTAGATAGTACCAGTGTATGAAATAACCCAAAACCCTAGCCAGACATCTGGGCTGGTAACTTCAAAAACTTACCAGCCCAGAAGAGATTTAACCAGTCCTTCTTGAATACTAAATAGACAGTGCAAGTGGACACATTATCTGAATATTTTTTTTACCTGTCCATCCTGGCTAGCTGTAAAGTTAGACTGTCCGGCAGAAATCTAGCCCTGACGGGCGGTTGGACGGGCCTTACTCATACACTGATAGTACCATCACACATTCAACCCATTGACAAGATATTCACTTACTGTACCGTCACACATTCAACCCATTGACAAGATATTCACTGATAGTACCATCACACATTCAACCCATTGACAAGATATTCATTGAATGTACTGTCACAAGTTTGACCTTTTGACAAGATGTTCACTGACTGTACCGTCACACATTCAACCTGTTGACAAGACACACTGACTTTACGATCACAAAGTGTCCCATAAATACCTGACATGGAGTCAGTTAGTTGGTTTCTGCCAAAGTTGACGACACACTGATTACGATCACACATTCAACCAGTGACAAGACACACATTACATAATACATTCTATAACAGTGTCATAAATACCTGACATGGAGTCCTGAGGCTGCCAAACTCCACCAGGTCACATTACATAATACGGTGATCATCTCCGTGATGGGGTGCGTGATCCTCCTGTAGTGCTCCACCTGTAGACGTGTGTTCATCTCCATGAAGTAGAACTTGAACTTCTTGTCCATGATGAACTCCACTGTCCCTGCACAGTTAAGTTTTGTTTTATGGATTCTGTGACACAAAATATCACTAATATGAAAAAACAAAAGAGAAACATTCATTAAACTGTAAAATATCGTACAATTTAGGGGCAGTGAAGTAGCCTTGTGGTGAAAGGCGCGGTGGGCAAACTGGCTAAAGCGCCAGGCTAGTGATCCAGCGAGATTGAGGTGACGGGATCGAGCCCACCTGTGACCGGGTGTAAAAACCTTGGAGTCAACTTTGTGTGCAGACTCTTTCAACCCCTAGTGTACAGTACACAACCCTGTGCACTTAAAAGAAACCACGAATCCGTTGGTAGATGACCAGATGGGGCCACATCAATACGTGGAAACACCCAGTTGCGGGTACAGCAAGGTGCAGTGAACTTGGACAAAGTACTGTGACTATGTGTCCCAGTCCACCCAGGTGTGAATGGGTACCTCGTAAGGATGGGAATGCCACAATAACTCGGTGCCACTAGTTGCTGCAAGAGTTGTATGCTCCCAAGGGAGTTGAGATTGACAATACGATGTGCCGTTGAGATTGACATCCAGTGAACGAGGAAAAAACAAAGCAAGCGCAAAGAGTCCTTTGCGGAGATTTGCGCAAAGTGTTCATGCCATGTATCAATCGTAAGGGGGGTAGCCGAGTTCGCTAGTCAGGCAAAACACGCAGGTTTGATTCCCTACATGTCTACAATGTGTGAAGCCCATTTCTGCCGTCCCCTGCCATTTAATTGCTGGTATACTGCTAAAAGCGGCGCAAAACTAAACTCACTCACTCACATAGTTACAACAGCTGGTAACATTACGAACACCAGTAAAAGCAGCGTAAAACATAACTCTCTCTGACCTTACATATTAACTCATATCGGCAGTACAGTTTTGGTCACCAGTAAAACTCACAGAGGTTAATGAACCTTCAAACAAATATTATCAAACAAACCATGTGGTTTCAATGAGAGGCTACAGTTAGCATTCAACAACCAGCATTTCTAAAAACCTAACCATCAGTGAATGCAAGAGTCCTTCTATCTCATTATGGACTCAAAGTAGTGCCACCTACCGGCGCCAACGTAGTTGACAGCCGCTGCTGCTTTCACTGCAGCCTCACCAAGCGCCTGTCTCACTTCTTCACTGATACCAGGCTGCAAAACATGACAAATTGTTGAAAGACTCAACATTCTGTTGAAAATCTCGCAAATGTTGAAAATCATGACCCATTGTAGAAAATCATGACATACTGTTGAAAAACAGAACAGTCTTGAAAAATATATACTGTTAAAAAACTTAAACAGAGTCATCAGAAGATAACAAACCCCCCAGCCCCAACATATTTGAAAGAACAAGTCATCTGACTGTTACTTTAAGTGCAACTTAATTTTTTTTAGACTAAGTCCAAATCGTTTCCATGGAAATCATGAAAAATAAAAATGACAAAAATCTGTAAATAGCAAAAGGCACCATTTCAAGAGCTCTTTGATATATCTACCAAGTCTTGTAGAAAGATACTGAAAGGTTTCGAGTTGTGCTCCAGAAGCGAAGCCCACCCCTCCCTTTTGAGACTAAGTCTGCAGCGTTTCCATGGAAACCAAGAAAAATAAAAATGACAAAAATCTACAAATAGCAAAAGGCACCACTCTGGGATCTGCCTCATATATATGCCAAGTTCTGTTGACAGATACTGAACAGTTTTCGAGTTGTGCTCCTGATACGAATCCTATCCCTCCCTTTAGAGACAAAGTCTGAAGCGTTTCCATGGAAACCAGAAAAAATAGAAATGACAAGAAGAAGACAAAGTTAACAATATCCCCGCAATGGCAAAATACTCTTCATGAATAGGTCTACTAGTTATGATTATTAAGTTCTGCTCCAGAAAAGAGCACTACCACCAAATTCAGTCGAAGTCAAACTTGTTGCCATGGAAACACCAAAAATATTATATTCAGAATTCCAAAACTACCAAAAGGTACCAGTACACCACAACATCTATCTATGTGCCAAGTTTGGTGAAGAAATATTGAACAGTTTTAAAGTTCTGCTCCGGAAAAGACGAATGTGCACGAATGGACGAACAGCTGGACGGACAGCCAGCCAAAGAGTCGACTATATCCCAAGGCATTACATGCTGGGGGGATAAAAATGGGATCGAGTGGTGAGGCTTGCATGTTGATACATGTCATCATATCCCAATTGCGAAAAAAAATGCTTGTGTTATCAATCACTGGGTTTTCTAGTCCAGAGACAATTACTTACAGACTGCCGTCATATAGCTGCAATATTGCCGAGTGTGGCGCTAGAAAACAAACATACAACTGTAGTGTTGACACCATGATATATGTTAAATACAGTCTACTCTGAATGTGATGGACTCACAGCAGGTGCTTCCTCAATGATCTTCTGGTGGCGTCGCTGTACACTGCAGTCCCGCTCAAACAGGTACACATAGTTGCCGTGGGAGTCCCCGAACACCTGCACCTCCACATGCCTGAGAACAAACAGGATCAACTACATCATTATTATTCACAACATATAGAGATGTGCCTCCCCAAACTGCCGAAATCATCACTATATGTGATAACTTTGATCTAATTGCATATATATTTTTTTAATATTTAAAAGTATTTTTGTTGCTGTCTTGGTTTTGTATTTTTTCACACACTTTACCCATGAAGATCCAGGTTAGAACTGGTCTTCAGCAACCCATGCTTGTCGTAATAGGCGACTGACGGGATCGGGTGGTCAGGCTCGTTGACTTGGTTGACAAATGTCATCATATCTTAATTGCATAGATCGTGTTGATCACTGGTTTGTCTAGTCCAGACTCGATTATTTACAGACTGCCGCCATACAGCTGGAATATTGCTGAGTGCAGCGTTAAACAACAAACCAACTCATTATGCTAACTGTGACAATTATCTTGAAATACTGACCATACTAAACAGTTGGTAGCCTAGCGGGTGAAGCACTCACCCAAAGGTGTAGGTTTGATTCCCCACATTGATATAATATTTACAGTCCATAAGGGATCCTTGCAATGACATTGAGGGATGTTATAGATCAAAGGGAAAACTGACAGGGAGTTGTACTTCTTAATAAGGTGTTCTCACAAGGTTCAATCCTTCCCGTCCTACCTTGGTGTCTCTACAAACTTCTCAATCAGCATCACGTCATCGCCAAATGACTTCCGACCCTCGGTCATTGCCGACTCCAGCTGGGTCTCAAACTCCTCCTCTGTCATACAGATCCGCATCCCCTGAAAAACAAACCATCCTCTGTGTAGATGCATAAATAAAAAGATGAACATTTGTCAGATGTGAGTGTCAAGAACACCTACAAATCTGAAATCAGAAAATGTTTATCAACATTGTATAAAGTATAAGTTACCTCTAAATGAGGAAATGGTTAAAACTTATACATTTTGGAAATATGGACAGCATTAAATGATACATTTGAGAGGATTATGACTGGTTTTGTGTCTACCCACCTTGCCTCCTCCACCTCGGACTGCCTTGATCATGACTGGGTAGCCAATTTTCTTGGCCTCTTTCTTTAACCTGTCAACTGATTGGTCCTCACCATGGTAACCCTCAATGATTGGCACACCAGCAGCTGACATGATACTCTTGGAAGTACTGGAAAATAATACAACAACTAACTTCTAAAAGACATTCTGTTTAGTACTGACTCATGGCTTGAAACAGATTGACTTGGGCTGTTTGGCTAAATTATATTCTTGTATCTCACTTCACGATTCTCATTTCTCATTTCATGAATCTTGCACCTCACCTTGTGATTCTTGCATCTCAACTCTTCTTACTCATATTGACACAATTCCCATATCTAGCCTAAACTCACACATATCTAACCTCTTCTTTCCCATTTCCAATTATCTGATTTGTAATTCCCACTGTCTGATTCCCATTTACCACTAATTCCAAATTAACCTCCACTCATATTTTATTCACATATCTAACCTCTCTTCTTACATATTCTGATTCCCATTTCCCACTATCATTGACACAATTCCACATTTAAAACCCAACTCTAACCTCTTCTTATTCTCAAATCCAGCCATTTGATTCTCATTACCAACTATCTGATTCCATATCATTAAACTCCATATCAAACCTCTTTTTTCCCATTTCCAACTATCTGATTTGTAATTCCAACTATCTGATTACATTTCCCACTATCTGATTCCCATTTTTTCCAAATTCCCATTATTTTATTCCCACTTCCTACTATCTGATTCCCATTTCCAACTATCCAACTTGATTCCCATTTCTCAAATCCACTGATCTGATTCCCATTTACCAACTATCTGATTCCCATTACCAACTATCTGATTCCCATTTTCAACTATCTGTTCCCATTTCAACTATATGATTCCCATTTCTACTATCTGATTCATTACCAACTGTCTGATTCCCACTGATTTCACTGATTCCCATTTCTCATTGATTTCCAATTCCCACTATCTGATTCCCATTTCTCACTGATTCCCAATTCTCACAGATTCCCAATTCCCACTGCCAAGTCATCTCACCTCTTGATTCCCATGTCTCTAATGGCAGAGGCAGGTGGGCCTACAAAGGTCACACCTTCTCTTGCACACAGCTCGGCAAACTCGGTGTTCTCGGACAAGAAACCATAGCCCGGGTGGATGGCCTGACGAGCAAATAACAAACAAACACAATAAAACTGTTAACATAAAAGTTCTCGGGAACATGGGGCACATTGTCTGACCCATCACAGCTCTCACTGATTCCTTTTTGTTTTCTAACATACAAGTTCTTCGCATTTAAGTGATGAAAATATCCCCCAACAAAGTATATCAACATGTGATGGATTTCTCTCAAGTAACTCTACTTCTACAAACTTAAGGAACCCTACAGATGGATGGATTTCTACAAACTTATACGGAACCCTACTTATCTCTACTTCTACAAACTTATTACAAGCTTGTTAATACCATTCTTTTGATACAACAATTTTCACCTTCAGGATCCAAGCCACTGGCTAGATAGTTACGTGGTGTGTTGACTTTGTATCAGTCAATTACGACGGGATCATTATCTCCAAAATACGCTACGTGTTTCACTTCATAGTCAGTCATCTCAAAATTTTACTTGTCAGTGGATTTTTGGAAGGTGAACATATATGAGGTGAGGTGAAATTGGGTTTAACGTTGTGCTTGAGAATATTCGCTCATATGACGATGTGCATGCATGTGTATGTGTATGTGCGGCTGCTTGTACTAGCCCAGACTGAAGCTGGTTTTATAGTGCTAGCCCACTGAGGTACCATGCCGCAGTGAAACATGAATACCCCACTCAGACACATTATACTGACTCCGAGCCGACCAGTCCTTGATGTACCCATTAATGCTGAGCACCAGGCAGGGACCAACAAGTAGCATATTTTAACGTCTTTTGGTATGACGAGGTCGCAGATCGAACCCGCGACCTTCCGCTCTCCGGGCGGATGCTCTAACCACAACACCACGGAGGCGTTTGTGAACATATATGACTTACAACCCAATTCATCTGTTCATCAGACTACATAAACTCCTCTCTCACCTGTGCTCCAGACTCCTTGGCAACACCCATCACCTTGTCCATACACAGGTAACTCTCCCCGCAGCTGGAGGGCCAATCAGGTAGGCTTCATCTGCCTAAACACCCAGAATTCATCAAATCAGATTTCTCTGTCTAAACTACAAATGTATTTTGAAATGTATTGGTCTACAAATATTGCAACTGAAAGTATGATAGATTATTTAACATTGCATTTTGACTTATACACACTCTCAAAGATAACACATGAATTTATGCTACGCACTGGCTTTCAAACATTTGTACACTCACATTCAAAATCACATCTACTGAAATACCAGACACAAGCACACCATCTATTTCTGCACCTCAAAAATCATTATGTTAAATGGATACAGATACCAACATCATTCACCAATGAACCCAAATCTAGTTTTGACAATTTTCAAATAAGAAGACAAAATTATGCAGCAGCTGTACATTGATAATATCTATGTTCTCGGCGACTAATAGATTATTCCGTTACCATGGCAACATGCATAGAATCAGCATCAGCCTCGCTGTACACTGCCACTGTCTTGATGCCCAGTTTGCGAGCGGTCCGCATCACGCGGCAGGCGATCTCCCCTCGGTTGGCAATCAGCAGCTTCTCCAGTGGGGCTGCAGCTGCAGCTGCAAGCCAGAATGAGTGAGGGAGTTGGGTTCAAAGCTGAACAAAACAACAGTCAACACACGATGTATGCTTTGTGGTTTTATTTGTTGTTAAACATCACAGCCGAAATATTACAGCTATATGGTTGCTGTTTGGTAAATAATCAAGTGTAGACCAAACAATCCAGTGATTGATATTATGAACATTGTCTGAACTAGGACATAGTGACCTGCATCAGTCAAGTCAGTGAGCCACCCAGTCGACCCTTAGAACCAGTACAGCTTGTTGGGACTATTTCTGATTCAGGGCCCCGTTTCACGAAGCTCTCGTAAGCTTAAGTTCTCGTAACTTTTCTAGTAGTGTCGCACCTCCTATGTTACAGTATAGGAGGTACGAATGCTACGAGGAAAGTTACGAGATCTTAGGCTTAGGAGAGCTTTGTGAAACGGGGCCCAGGGTCCTGATCCATAAAGCATTCGTAATGGTACGACCTGTCGTAACTCTATAGTTTGTCATAAGTTTATGAACGTCGTAGCGCTACGAACGCTTTGTAGATCGGGATCCAGAATCCCATGTGATCCCATTTATGACAATGTGGTTGAACTTCTGAACATTTACCACTTAAGTGAAGAGTTGGGATACCCAGAGATGATTATACTGATTTCACAAAAACAATGTCAGAACTGTTGTATTCCACAAGAGGGAACTCATGAAGATTAGGGTTAGAATTGATCTTCAGCAACCCATACTTGTCATAAGAGGCGACTACTGGGATTGTGTGGTCAGGCTCGCTGACTTGCTTGACACATGTCATCGTATTCCAACTGATTGATGCTCATGATATCAATCACTGGATCGTCTGGTCCAGACTTGATTATTTACAGACTGCCATCACATAGCTGGAATATTGCTGAGTGTAGCAATACATGAATTCTTCACAATTTTTTTGTAAATTATGTATGACACACATTCACATATACTGGCAAACAAGGTTAAGTTGAGCACCGACCTGACAATTCACCTGTATTAGCATGTATTAGCAATTTCAGCGTCATGCACTGCACGTGCACTAGCCTACATCTGCTCTACCTTTCACAAACCAAATGGGTTTGCTCATTGCCGTGCACCGCCTACTTCTCGTAAACGCGTTCTCAGTGCCGGTCCAATTTATCCTTGTTTGCCAGTAACTGTGTGACTAAAAATTAGCTTATTACTCATTAGTTTTCAAAAAGTATTTACCTCCCATTTAGATAAATGAACTGCTTATTTAATATGATCGCTGTCTTTGAAAAAGAGAACTGTCATATGACATCCACAATCTTTAGCATTGACTTAATTTCTTTAGTGATGTGTGAAGCCCATTTCTGGTGTCCCCCGCCGTGATGTTGCTGGAATATTGCTAAAAGCGGCATAAAACCAAACTCAGTCAGTCAGTCAGTCTTTAGTGATGTCATTCCAACCGTACGTCGCAATAAGATTCACAAGACATCAAAGATGCAATTAGGATGATGTACCCCAAAAATGGGATATAACTCAGAGAATTGCAGTACCATGCTGAGACGACCATGCTGCCATCAGACTGGTACATGTGATCTACCAACCTTGTGATGCAGATCCGTTCCAGCTGCGACATAGCGATGTGCTGAGGTCTGATCTGAAAATATATCCAGATCTACATCATATACCAAGAGACACTGTTTAGTCTGTAGCATTAGCCGCTGGTCTGAAGCCTGAGTCAAGTAAAATTTGGTTCAATCTGGTAAGGTCACCTAATAACTTCCTGTGAAATAATCCTTAAATCTAAATATGATGTAAAAAGCTATATGCTGGCAAGAAGCATCAATTAGTGAGTGAGTTGGGTTTAAATCCTATATTAGGTTTTCCAGTTTTATACTGGTTTTCCAGTTTTAGGTGCGTCAGTTTAATGTGGGAGGAATGCACAGTCAATTATGGCACCTTAGACAACTGGGCCAACCCTGGTTAGTAGACTCAAATGTTTTAGTAAAGACTACAATATACGATTCGTCAATTTGAACATGACTGCTTCTGAAAAATACTGGCAATTACTGACACGGCTTTTAGGTTACAACCGATCCCTAGAGACTTGAAGAAATATAAAGAGTTGACTGAAAGTATTTTGAACCGCATGCCCCACTCAGATGACTTTATAAGTATACAGTCCAAAATACAAATAACCAGAAAACCTTCAGAGGTGTGGTCAAATCATAATTTCAAAAGTCTTTTTTTTTCACCAAACAGATTCTAAGGCAGCTGAGGATATAACCAGGTTTGTCGGTTTAGAGGGGCAGTGGGGTAGCCTAGTGGTTAAAGCGTTGGCGCGTCACGCCAAAGACCCGGGTTCGAATCCCCACATGGGTACAATGTGTGAAGCCCATTTCTGGTGTCTCCTGCCGTGATGTTGCTGGAATATTGCTAAAAGCGGCGTAAAACCAAACTCAGTCAGTTGTCGGTTTAGAAAGACAGACACACCATGTTTATGTAGACAATGTATGGCACTAAGAAATAAAGTAATTATTAGTATAATTCCAAAAGCAACGTGAGATTGGTTGGATTCCATTTTGGAAACAAATTCTTGCACCAAGCATAACGCTCTTCTTTGAGGGGATATAATGGGAATCCTGAATTACCTCATCTGATTATCTCACGATGCTGAGCCGATGGCATTGAATGAACTGGGATTCCAATCATGGGGAATTTCCTACCTGTTTGCTAAATCTAACCGTGTGACAACGCATGTGGACCTTAGTTCATTATTATCATCTAGCCTCAGCTATAGAAGATGAAGATGATACATAATATTATTATTAACACCATGACATTGGTTCTCATTTTGGAACCAAACATGGATCACGTGTCCTAGCTGTCACATTGGTTGTCACGTGCCGTGGCACTGACGTTCGAGTGCTCACCTGCGCAAACTTCGCAACAAACTGGCTGTTTTGGAAGCTCGCAGAGAGGCCATGTTTTCATTTATGTTAGCGACCTTCTAATGCCCCTTACAGCAATCACAATGCAAGTTACCTCCCTTACATCCAGGCATTGCATTCAGATGGCGAGATGTGTGTGGCCAGTTCGAATTATAGGTTTGTTAAAAGTGAACTGTTTTCTTAAGAAAATATATTCTGCAAGAAAAATGTACACGCACACTCACGTGAGCACATAACAGGAGCTCACACGAACATATTTTTGCTCCTCATATTCTTTGTACAATATAGGAATTTGAATCAATAACACGTTTTATTACACTTAATACATGACTTGTTATATAATGTGAAACTTCATAGTAATCCAGCTCTTTACGTATTAATGTTTTTTTGCGGCCTGTAAACAATCGAGTATGTCCTAGATAAACCAGAAATCGTCAACCACAATCCACAGTCACTGAGCACAGGGCCCCACTGCGGGTCAGAAAATCGATAAACTAGTTTATCGATTTTCTGACCCGCAGTGGGGCCTGTGTCACTGAGCATATAGGCGGATCCAGAGGGTGGTGTGTGTTGAAACTCGGGTGGAAATGAAGTGTGTAACCCCCATCCCCCACCCTTTTCTCAATAGTATGCACCCCTCTCTTTCTCAAAAGTTGTATCCGCCCCTGCCGAGCCTAATCTCCCAATGTATTTGGTCGCCTCTGATACGACAAGCATAATGGTAACTGCATGAGGGACCAATTCATACTCGAAATCTCCAGACTGAGAAAATAAATTGCTTTATCATGCATGAAATAGTCGTACAAACATTTAAAGGGGATATACAGTAACAAAATATGAAATCAAATCATGTATGAAGCACAGGGGCGTGTCTCGCTTAGAAACAGCTTTAGAAAAACATATAGGTGTATAGACCCAACCCTATTACTAAACTGACGTGACCGCCTCCGTGGTGTAGTGGTTAGAGCGTCCTGCCTGGCGCTCAGCATTAATGGGTACAACAAGGACTGGTCGGTTCGGAGTCAGTATAATGTGTCTGAGTGGGGTATTCATGCTTCACTGCGGCATGGTATCTCAGTGGGCTAGCACTATAAAACCAGCTTCAGTCTGGGCTAGTACAAGCAGCCGCACATACACATACACACGCATGCACGTCGTCATATGAGCGAAATATTCTCAAGCACGACGTTAAACCCAATTTCACCTCACCTCACCTCACCTCACCTCACTAAACTGACGTACAAAAGAAAGTACACACCTGATGTTTTGGGATTATTTGAAAAGTGTTGTGATTTTGACTGGCAACTTCCAATTGGGCACGATATCTGTGGTGTTTTGGTAACATATTAGGAAAGTCTGGGACTTATATATCACTGTAAAAACTCTTTTCAAAACATTAACGGCGCTTTTTGGAAAGTAATCCAAAAGCAGCGGGTGTGTACTTTTTTGTACGTCAGTGTATATTACCCTTTCATATAGTAATAGGGTTGGGTCTATACACCTATATGGTTTTCTAACGCTGTTTCTAAGCGAGACACGCCTCTGTGGTATAAAGCACGTAAAAAAATATCCTGAAGAAGTAATTTATTTCTTAAGTCAACATTTCTAGCCAAAAACGTTTAAATACCCCACTCCTGTGATATTCGCAGATATAATTCACTTGGCTTATATTTGTTGTGGTTAGAAACACTGTATATGTTAAACGTTTATTTGTTTTTAACAATTTTTACTGTTACATCACCGAACTGACGTTTATCACGGAAGTACGATCTAGTTCAGTTGAGCTAATGGAATATAACTGCAATAATATTTTAAAATGTCCCAAACGTAATGCGCAATATACAGTATTCATGTTGAATCAAGATCACGTCTTCTACGTGCAGGTTTCTGCGTATCATGTCCACGCACAGACTGTCTCACAGTCCCGAACCATATTATTTTCCATTCCACCTGGCTTATTCAGTAACGCAAAATCCCAAAACGGAACAACCCGTGAAGGTCCGAGTTAGAATGTATCTTCAGTAACCCATGCTTGTCGTAAGAGGCGACTTACGGGATCGGGTGGTCAGGCTCGCTGACTTGTTGACACATGTAATCGGTTCCCAATTGCGCAGATCGATTTCCATGCTGTTGATCATTGGATTGTCTTGTCCAGACTCGATTCTTCACAGACGGCCGCCATGTAGCTGGTATATTGCTGAGTGCGGCGTAAAGCTAAACTCACTCACTTATTCAAAACGGAACAATTTTAGATTGTCTTAAGGGCCTCACTCTCCCACCTCACTGAGACCCCTTTCCAGTTTAAGTTTAACTTGTCATTTCTATCCTTCATTTGTAGAGACTGAGCGTAAGTCTAGGACACGTTTAAATCTTAGATATAAGACTTGGTTCTCCGCGTGCTCGAGTGTTAAGCTAGCACATGACCACAAAAACTGTTACATTGATAACTTGTTTCCACGAGTTTTTCCTTCGAGTGGCCGCCTGTAACTCTAAACCCGCGTTACACTTGCTACACGTGCGAGTGTGCTGTCGCGTTACGGTTAGTCCAGATATTTTAGTTGTACATGTTTGAGAATGGATAATTTTGTGGTCACTGCTTCGAAGCATACACTACAAAAGGGGTTTATATTTTACAACATTCTTTTTTCGGTACATGAAGTGTCTAGCAATTCCTTTTTTTTAAATACTAACAATGGCGATCTCATTCGACTTGGGCCCATAAACACCCCATTTCTGCTGAAGGAAGACCGAAGTGATACGGGTCTTTGACATTTATCACTTTATTACCATAAAAAATGGCTATTCTGCTGACTAAAGTCCGGATTTTAGGCAGTCCCCTAATCCTACTTAAGTCTAGAATGATGTTGCAAAACTGGATTTCCTCAGATCTAAGAAATTATGGATTGTTCTGGGCTCCATTTTACGGAAGCCCATTAGGGCCACTGATATTTTTTTATTATCTTGAAAATTCAAGATATTAAGTTGAGAATTCAAGATACTATCTTGAAAATTTCATCTTGAATTTTCAACTTAATATCTTGAATTTTCAAGATAATAAAAAAATATCAATGGCCCTAATAGGCTTCCGTACCATTTGGACTTGTTTTGTAAATAAATAAAAAAAATCCTATCTTTGAATTTAATAAAAACGACAACCTTTATTTCTGGGATTCATTGTCAGTCTACACGTTATATAGTCTCCCTGCTTACTCTGACAGTATAAATCGCTTTTGAGCACAGGATTTGTTGATTCGATTGTAAATTGCTGTAGTATATTAAACGTGACAGCAATACAAGGTAACAAATAGCGTACTACCGGCGTTTATATACACATCAGATATGTCAAGGGCAAAAACTTGATCCGGGTTGGCACGGCCAACTGCCAACGGACTAGGGCTGTTGCAGCGCTGCCTTGTGATCTGCTTGAGCGTTGCCATGTGCTGTGATACCCTACTTCGCACTAATGTAATATGCGGTGATTAATTAGAACCGACGGAGAAGAGCACGCGCAGGACTGTCCAATCAGCGGGCTATCGAACTATCTCCCAGCCAATCAGCAGCCAATTAACAGTTTGCCTGCAACTATTACGCGCTTAATTACCTCCGATGTTGCTTAAGTGAGTTGATAACCTATCTCGTACTCTGACAAGTGCTAATGACTTCACACAAGAGTGTTGGTATACGAAACACTTCGCGTAGTTGATAAAAGCCGAATCTCGTCCAAATTCAGTAACCGACTTCGAAATATTTTGCCTTTTTGTGTGGAATCAACAATATAATTGGTTATTCGCTGGCAGCAATGTTTACGTCAGCATTCGATGCTAGAAAACGGCATGTAGGTCCGGAAAATCTTCATGCAGGATCGTGAGCGACAATCCATCAGAGAAAGTGAGTGAGATGGGTTTAACGCCGCTTTTAGCAATATTCCAGCAATTTCACGGCGGGGGACACCAGGAATGGGTTTCACACATTGTGCCCATGTCGGAAACCGAACCCGCGTGACGAGCGAACGCTTTAACCACATGGCTACCCCACCGCCCCTCGATCAGACAAAGAGTATGACTGTATGTGAACATGCATGCATGAACGGTGTGTGCCAAACCAGTGGACTTTGACTTTTAGTGTATCGAACTTACGATTGTCACGAAATGTTTGGTCCCTTCGTTTGCTTTTTTTATTCACCATTTTTCGAAAGAAAGATAAAGTACGAAACATGAAAGGGATAAGGTAGTCACACAGACTCTGAAACAAACATATAATTTGGCAAGTCTAGATTTCCGCAGTTTCAGGAAGATCGTCTCTGGGCTCCTTATTATATTCTATTATTATTATTATTATTTATGAACCGTTGCTTTATTTCTTTGTTTTGTTTTTTTTGTAAAATATGTTCATTTCAAAACCTAGCTGTTAGTCTAGGGGTCGGATGGTCGATGTCATGCCTCGTGGATGTAAATCGCTGTATTAGACTGCTGTCCTGGAGTGAGTGAGTTAAGTTTTACGCCGCACTCAGCAATATTCCAGCTATAATCGAGTCTGGACCAGACAACCCAATGATCGACAGCATGAGCATCGATCTTCGCGGCAACCGATGACATGTGCCAACCAAGCCAGCGAGCCTGACCACCCGATCCCTTTAGTCGCCTCTTACGACAAGCATGGGTTACTGAAGGTTCATTCCTACCCGGACCTTCACGGGTTGCTGTCCTGGAAGTTGCAAGTTATGTGTTTATACGTTTGTGTTGTTTAACGCCGCACTCAGCAATATTCGAGCCCTATGAAGGCGGTCTGTAAATAATCTCGACCAGACAATCCAGTGAGCAACAGCATGATCATCGATCTACGCAACTGGGATACGGACATGTGTCAATAAGGCAGCGAGCCTGACCACCCGATCCGCCTCTATATGGGTGGACAGGAAAATGTAGTCTATCTCACAGTCCCTGAACCATTATATTTTCCCTACAGCCTTGCCCTCCCTGCAATGCTAAAGCCCTAAAGGAAGCAAGTCTACATTTCCCCAGGTTCTGAATCTCTGGTCTTCCTGGGGATCCTTTTCAGTTTAAATGGG